TCTACATGTAGCCTTGTTCAATATCATATCATACGTGGGTATAGGGTGTACGTGTTATATTCTTTGAAAGTGTTTGTTGAATAATATTTACAGAAGAAATTCACACATTTAGTGTAGTAAAGCATATATAAACCTTTCCACAAGTGTTAAAAGATAAAACGTAGGCACCATGTACTTGTACAACATGTATTTTAGTTCCTATGATGTGCATAGATACAGTTTCGTATGTAACTCTCCGTCAGAATAATTTCCAATATCGAAGTCCAGTCCACGATACACCCTATCCTTTCTTTGCTGAACTGGCATCATGAAAGCAGTGTTAGCCATGAACGCCATTTGCGAGTTAACCACACTGTTAAAAAGTTAGCGGCGGTCCTTAGGTGTGTTAACTTAACGCCACGTTAACAGCCTGTTAATAGTTAACAGAGTTTTGAACAACAAGATAACCCTCTGTTATTAGGTAACAATCGGTTAAATGTACTTAACGGCTGGTTAAAAGATAACCGAGTTTTGAACAACCGGGCCCTGATAGACGACAGTGTGTCTCTGTTAATGGAACATTATGAACAACTAAATGTTACTGCAGGGGTTCCTCAAGGATCTGCCCTTGGTTAATTTGTGTTCCTTGTATATATCAATGATTTACCTGGAAATTTACAAATGTCACAATAATTTTGGCCTATGTTAGATTTTAATGAGCTTCGTCCTTCAAGCCTGAAAACCTTTTAATATGGTTGATTAATCCTTTGTCATTTATCAAAAAGAGTAGTGAGGTTGTGCTTTTTTGTTATAGATTTCTAAAATATATGGACACTATTGGAACGTTGGTAAGTGTGATCAGACATTTTTTGACGACATTTCTCATGGTTTTTTAATATAGCCGACTTTATAGAAGATAAATATCAGTTTACAACACAACTGCCTAAATCTTGGTATTTTCGGATATTTAGGCCGATATTTAGGTCGTTAATCTAGCATATTATGGTCACGAATATAATTTTCTATTTATTACCGAAGTCTTTAATTGCGTAAATTACGCGATAATCTACTTCCCAACAAAGGCAGGCTCCCCGTCATCGTTGTATTTAGAAGGCGGCTTCTTGGAAGCAACGTGACGTCATAACATTGTTCATGATGTCATGTCACCATGACAAAGTGATATTTTACCCGGTGCATATCGCAAGAAAACAAATTATTCCCGATATGTTTGCCCTCGTATGTTATAAGCATTGTTATTATCATTCTTTGAGGTTAATGCCACCCGTTGAATTCTTTGTTGTATTTTGAGCGGTGAAACTAAATAAATGATTTCTTTGGTCTACCCATAACAATTAAGGTGTCAACTTCCACTGTATACCTTACAGAAAGAAGTTTTGACTTTACTTTGATAACGAGCACATCTGATCGATTCCTTGAAGCAAATGATGCAATTCAGTATCATTTCTCCATTTTATTTTAAATGCATCAATCAAATACAATTACAAATGAATAGACAGATTGCCTGCTATGTGGCAAGGCATAACCAGGCGAATAATTTCACAGCTGGTAGAATTAACATGAAATTATAGAAACCATATGCTAATTTTTTTTTGAAAATTAGTAATGACAAAGCGTTTGTCACAAACATAGCTATTACCCCCGCCACATGTCGATATCTGAATGTCGCAATTATCCTCTGTCTGACCCTGAAAATTATGTAAACGTTACCGAAACTGTCATCTGATGCCTTGATAGAAAATGCGAACAAATTCCATCCATTAGGTTTGGAGATATCGCAAGAATACTCGCTGTGACCTTGAAAATAATCCGAAGGTCACTGAATTCGACTGGCGTTAGACGATACTCCCAACGCATCTTGGTACTACCTTTAAGCAAAACATATTAATTCTGTCTTGTATTTTCGCACTAAAAAGTTAGACATGTGCAAAACACTTTTCACTGTGAACTTAAAATGAGCGGCTACCAAGCTTGGCATGTGCAAAACTGGTACACCTTCGCTGTGACCTTTAAAATGACCTCTGGGTCACTAAATTCAAGTGGTGTCGGTAAATCTCCAATCTCCAGTCAATAAACCTTGGTACCAAATTTGAACAAAATCCATCATTTCTTTCTCGAGTTCTCTTAGTAAACAGAATGGGGAGTCATTTGAACAAGCGATTGTAGTTTTGAAATTGCTTTTTTGTGCAGTTTAATATCTAAGTTTGATTCTAGCCGACTTCTACCAATCTCAAACATAGCATATTTTGTTTCCTGAAGTTTGTGATGCATTTTATTGCAGATTTTACGTTTTTGGGGAGTACCAAGCCAAGATACAAAGTCTCACAAAATGGGGATCGTGAGGCTGCAACATAGCAAAACCAATTTTGCTTGAGGCTGACAGATAATATGTAGAAAAAAAACACATAAAAACAGCTGCATTTGTATCATATTCTAGGTGAGGCTGACTACTATTTGAACGTCCCTCGTAGTTATACCCGTTAGAACACCCACCCACCTCTCCGACTCTACATGCATGCAAGTGTGTTAGATATACCCGTTAGAAACCCACCCCTACCCCACCCCAACTTTATATGTATACATATCAAAACCTCAAAAGATATTTGCGAAAAGACATGATACAGAGGACAGTTTATATCGATTATATATCAGGACGAATATCATTTTCGTCATTTAGCTAATATTTTTCAATTCATTCTTGGGTTATCGCGCTAACAATCTTTATATTGGCAAAACCCTCAGATTTTTGCTGTGACCTTGAACATTATCTCAAGGTCATTCCATTTCACTTGTGTCGGTGAATCTCGCCAATATACCTTGGTACCAAATTTGAACAAAATCCATCATTTCTTTCTTGAGTTATCGCCCTAACAAGCTTATTTGATGTATGAAATGCAACGAAAAACAAACACCCGCGTATTTACGAGTGATTAAAACTGTTATTACAATTTACGTAAATATTTATTACATTTTACCGCAACGAAAATTATTACAATTTACGTCAATTTTTATTACAATTTGCGTATTACAATTTACGTCAATTTTTATTACAATTTACGTTTTTATTACAATTTACGTCAAGTTTATTACAATTTGCTGCAAGTATTACAATTTGCGTTTTTGTTACAATTTACGTCATAACAGGCTCCCATTTTATCGTTGCATTTGTTCACGCAAGAAATGAACCCCGTAATACATAATCCATATTTTCATTCACTGAGAAGATTTGATTTGCCGGTCATCTTACTGCGCGCGTTGTTCAAGATATGAACATCTACGCTTGTTCAAAATGACATGACCTTTGTGAGCAAATCTACTTTAAAACTAAATCATAAAGTTTTGAAATAAATACTTACGAACAGGTTACATTTACACCGACGGAGCAATAATGCGCCGTTTTAAGATCTCTGGTCAAAATTTCTATTGCCGGTTATTAAAAAATATATATAATTATTTATACAAAATGCCGAGTGGTGCTTCCAAATCCATCAGGTTTGACATTCAAGCGAAATGATACAAATTTCCTAAATATAGTGTGAAACGTAACACAGTAAATAGATAAGGTAGTCCTGAACCTATAAGTCCTAGAATATACATTTGCTGCCTTACCGAAACATAGGTTTATAAGTCACTCTGCGACTCACATAAGTACACATATTTAACGTGTGTATTCCACATACGTGCTCTTAAATAGCTCTTATTGTCGCAAAATCTTCACAGAATTAGTTGCCACCCCGACGCTGGGGTAATGGGGTCTATTTATAAATGTCCCAAGAAGGGAATAGACAAACAGGTGTGTCTGACCATCGACACAATTAACACTTTACTCGTCGGTTTGTTTTCTTGCCAATTTGTCCCTGCCAGGCTGAAGCAATTAACGTCCCACAAAGTGTCCAGGTAGGTTGGACCCGACACTGGGGAGACGATCAATAAGGCATTCAATAAGACATCGCCCTCTATCAATTTACATACACACACCGACACCCAAATCCTATTTTGGGTGAGATTATGTAACTTTGTCATATGCGAAAGTGACGCATTGTGACGTTTGGAATGATCGACTCGAATCATAAATCGAAACTTGCAACTTGACATGAATGCTCCGAGTCGATACGGGTATATAATATATGTATTATAATTTAAATGTGGTGTCACAATCAACATATATCTGCCTCTTTTCTGATATACACACTTCAAATCATAAGTGAAAAATTACTTACAAAATTGTTGTTTTAATCTACATCTAAACGATATTACTCTGGTATGTTATCAATCGTTACTATGGCTGGAACGATACACTATGTCACGATACGATACGTATCGCGATATTTTATCTGCGATACGATACATATCACGATACATACACCTTGAAAGAATGGCACAGTATTAATGATTTATTTAAATGTATTTGTGTATAACAATAACACTATTGTAATAAACAAGCAAGTAATAATTACTTTAACATGTTTAAGATAAAACTGTTTTGAAAAAAGGTTGTGTATCGTTTTGTATCGATACACCAGTCGACGATGCGATAGCTGTATCAAACTTAAAATATTATCACGATGTATCGATGCATCGGTGAATCGTCCCATCCCTAATCGTTACACGACAAAACCGATGAAAACAAAAAAGGTTCTGATGTCAGTGATTCCTTAGAAACTGGTCGTGTGTGTAGTTAGTTTCTACGAGAGGCTACAGACATCAGGAGTCTCCAGTCAAGAAAAAAACTTGTCTTTTGAATTCCAGTTTCTTGGTTATGGCATTACTTTGTTGTTCTTACGTATAAACAATACGCGCTCTCACTATCCAAACGTTCGTTCGGTGTTGTATTGTTTATATTAAGACGTTGACATCAACACATTCTTATGTGTATCATTTCTAAATGTTGTTTAAATACTCTAACAGCATTTGTAAAAGAAACTAAATGAATAATGCGACATTCAGAAGGATTTCCGTTCCTCAATTTATAAAACGCAACCTTGTCGGTCAAGGTCACTGCAATGGCGGCCCCCACGAAGCGTCTGCTTTCTGCTCTGTTGAGACAAAACAATGCTTTTACACGTCTGTCTCAGGTGAGATAGTATTAGATAAAAAGTATGATTCATGGTAGAAGGCTACTAAGTCGGTCAGTAAGATTCATGGGCTTTAAATGGAATCTCAAATAGTATGTGTAATGTTCACTTCAACAGATTTCAATGACTTGAGTCAACGAGTGCAATGATGGATTTGGTATGGGGTTATGATCATAGGCGTCCGACTCTGATATTATTTATAAGTATGACCTATATATCCATATAATATACCAGAGGCGTACTGCACTTTACCGGTCGCACTTTTTCAGATTAATTAGCGCTGCTGGGGTTCCTAATCCTAACCCTAAGGATCGTAAAGGGTGCCTAACCCTAAGGATTGTAAAGGGTGCCTAACCCTAAACCCTAACCTTAAGGATCGTAAAGGGTGGCATACCCTAACCCTAAGGTTCGTAAAGGGAGCAGCTAGGGCTGCGCCCGGTAAAGTGCAATCTAGCGCCTATATGGTTATGATGAAAACAATTGTAGGGAAAGGTCTCAATAATCTTTCTCCAAATAAAAGCATATCAGCAGATAAATACCATGCCGCCGTGGTATTTTCTAATGACATAATTTCTCACGAGTCACTCACCAAATTGCGCCACCTATCGATTGATAACGCATCAGTCGATTGGCACGGCTCTGCGCAAAAAATGTTCAGACTTTCATCAATTTGCGGACATACAGTCATCTACTATTAAAAACTAATGCAACTTTATGTCTAGCACGTAATGCACTTTTTGTGCGATCTTTACAAACATTTTCTATAAACTTATTCAGTCTGCTAGCTGATGTCATCAATAAAAACAATCACGTGACATAAGGGGGAATCCCACCTCTATTTTTTAAACTAATGAATCCTGATAGGGTCATCTCTTAAGTTGTTTTTTCACTTTTCATTTTACGTATCCCGTTGATCAACTCTACATATTTTATGAACTGGAAATTTATGCTGAAGAAATGTGACTATTGTGTTAATTCCACAAAATCATATACTGTATTACAATTTATCATCTTCATTATTACTATAAACCTACATTGACACTCCCGGATTGGCTGTTGACAACGTGTGAGATTCTGACATGTGCTGTGCGCCCATAATTTGATCTGTAGGAAATACCACGGAAACATATCACGTCACCAGAGTTTGTGCACAATGGCAGCCTGTCGTCTCATACGGACAACACTGAACTTCAGAATGACAAAAGTGTTTTATTGACATTAAATGATACAAAGGTATGTCGTCCAACACTATGTTATGTTTATATGACTTGGCAATATGAGCGGTCATATTCATAGTCGTAAATTTCTTAATACTACGGAAACTCATGACACGAGGGTATATAACCATGAATAATCTATATAATGTTTTGAAGCTGTCAGTTGTAGACTAGAAATTGGAACGGTTAAAATTCAGGACCTTTTTACTTGATAAAAATACACTTTGGCATGGATTTAACTGACATCTACGACATACCTATTGTTGTGCAATCAACCTGACAAGCCGAGCCATGGTGCTCAGATACAGCGGAGAGTGTCTACTTGAGATTGGTCAGAACTATGATCATTGTTTAGCATTGTTAACTCAGCTGAGTGAAGTGACTTACCAACCTGTCAAACAAAGCAAGCAAGCAAAAAGGCACAAGACTGAGCGTGGCAAACGAGCTGGTTCACGGAAACAGAGGAAAATCGGTGTTGCTGTCAACCGCAGAGTGAACAAGTCACTCAAGCAGAACCAACCAAGGGTAAATTTTGAAAACCTCACTATTGTGCACACCTCTGGAAACAACACAAGTCAGACTGAGAATATCCCTGTAAATACTCCCAACATCAAAATGCGTCTACTTAACACACGTTCAGTGAGAAACAAGTCGTCAGAATTACATGACTACATTCTAGACCATAACATAGACATTTGAGCTGTAACTGAAACCTGGCTGAAGGAGAATGATGATGTGGCCATCAACGATCTTGTACCTGTGAGATACAACATTCAAGCTTGTAACAGATTGGATCGACAAGGAGGCAGCATAGCTGTCATACACAAATTGTGCCTCGATGTTCAGACTCAACCTATTTTCTCCTGCAATATTTGGACTTAAAGATCGTAATCAATGGCCTAACAACCAAACTCATAGTTGTGTACCAACCCCCGCAATCACACAAGAATAACGCAACATCGGATGTCATCATAGGAGATCTTCATCTACTGATAGATACTACAATGTGTACCAACGAACACACGATAATGATCGGTGACTTTAACATCCATGGCGACGACTCCAACACATTGTCATTTAGATTTGCTGATATTCTGTATGAACTAAACCGCTAAACAGCATGTCACATCTGCTACCCACAAAAGTGGTCACATTCTGGACCTGGTCATCACCAAACAATCAGACGACATTATAACCTCTGTAGCTGTCACTGATCATGGCATATCGGATCACAGGACTGTGACCTGCCACCTGAAGCTGAAACGACCATCTGCGCCCCAGGAGAGTCATCACATACAGGAAAACCAGAACCATTAACATCGATCAATTTCAAAAAGACATTGATACTAGTCAAATCCCTCTCCTATCAACATCGACATCGACCGATGTGTTTTTAGCCGACACTTACAACCGAGTTCTACAAGAGCTCCTTGACAAGCATGCTTCACTCAAGACTCACAGTGTTGTAGTAAGACCAGACACCAGCTGGATGACCGATGAGGTGAGACTCGCTAAACACGAGGCGACGTGCTGAGAAATCATGGCGGCAGACTAGATTAGAGGTCCATCGTCAAATATTTCAAGCTGCCAGCAATAAGGCCAACATCCTCACTCAGCGGGCTAAGATCAACAATATCAAGCAGTCAGTTTCTGAAAATAGGAACAATCCAAGACAACTCATTGCTATCACTAACCGACTTACGAAACCAAGAACTGCAATCAAGGAACAATCCACGAAGCTATCAGAGGACCAGACAAATTCCTTGGCAGATTTCTTTACAGCCAAAGTTACGCGCGACTTCGACTTGAATCCCTTTCCACATCAGATGAGACCTATTCGGCTCTACAGGATGATATACCATTCTCAGGGAAGCCACTTAGGGAGTTTGCGAAAGTCGAAGAGGTGACTGAAATTATCAAGAAAGCACCTGCTAAGTGTTGTGTCCTGGATCCTCTGCCTACATGGCTTGTCCGAGGATGTCTTGGAAATCTATCTGCGGCCATGACCACGCTGATTCAAACATTCCTTAACAACAGGGAGGTCCCGTCATGTTTCAAGAGAGCTGTCATCACTCCAATCTTGAAAAAAACAAACAAACTTGGATCCAACGGTGTTGAAGAGCTTCCACCCTGTATCAAATCTTCACTTCCTGTCTAAAATCTTGGAGAAAGTTGTGCTGAAGCAACTCAATGGCCACCTGTTTAGCTGTAGTCTACATGAAGCGCTCCAATCTGCATACAAGGTGAAGCACAGCACAGCACCGAGACTGCTCTCGTGTGAGTGCAGAATGACATCCTTCGCAGCATTGACAAACAGGAAGTGGTGTTGCTGGTTCTACTCGACTTGTCAGCAGCATTTGACATGGTGGACCGCGAAATGCTCCTCTCAAGACTACAGCACACCTTCGGTATTTGCGAAACTGCTTGCGGGTGGTTCAGATCTTACCTGTCAGATCGAGTAATGCAGGTAAAAGTGGCTGAGGCCTACTCGAAGACACACCCTCTCAAATTTGGTGTGCCCCAGGGATTAGTGCTTGGGCCAGTGCTCTTCTCTGTCTACATCTCTCCACTAGGGAACATCATCAGGAAGCACGGCCTGCAGTTTCATGGATACGCTGATGAAAACCAGTTGTACATCAGTGTAAAACCAACCGCAGTTGCAGGATCCCAGGACAGGATGACTAGATGTATTTATGACATTCGCAAATGGATGTCTAGCAACTTTTTAAAGGAGTTTTCCTTTTCTCTGGAGTCTCTCTACCCTAGATTTGTTTAGCGCTGTTGAACAGCTGTAAGCTGGAAAGCAGGCGCGTTATAAATGCATTATTATTATTATTATATGTACTATTTTTCCTTATCCTGACTCATGCTCTTTTGCTTGTCCCCTTCCTCTTAGATTCGAACATAGTGGAACACTTGTATCTCCTTAATTGAAGCTCCTTCAATGTAAAATCACTAATTGGTACTCACCCAAGAGTTGCCTCCCCTGCGTGCCGTGGCGGGAACAGGTGTCGCCACCCTCTGGCCTCATGCTTCCTCTCTCTCTTCTTAGCCCAGTGAGCAGGATCGCGAGGAGGCGCCTGTGTCTCCTTACACACTATATCCTTTGGTTTTCTTAGTTAGTTACCTCTTATAGTTTACTATAAAGGTATAGCTAGTATCCTTCATTAATTTGCATTGATAATTAATCGTATTTCTACTGTTTATTCCATTGAGTTAAGTGATTGTTCAGCTAGTATTACGTTGATGAAAAACTGTACTATTTGTAGATTACGTTTTCGCTGCTGATCCGCATGTAGTATGCCCTAGTTGTACTTTCGCCTTGTGCGTTTGATTCACGTTGCAGTTACTGCATTAATTTAACCAATTCTGCCTTTAATAAATACCATCTTTGCGTCTTGAGGCGTGTTGCAGATAGGTCCACGCAAACTAGGTGTAGACATGGCGATACATCCAGTTCCCATCCAGTCAGCTGCTGTCGGCGACCCCCTCCCGTCTGGTGTTCTGCTTGAGACCCCATCCGGAAGGGGCGTGGGATGCAGTCCGTCACCTCTAAGAAGCGACCGGCCTCCCCAGACATCCCGTCATCGCCAGATAAAGTCCAAGAGGGCCTCAACGTCTTCTCAGCGCAGACCCATTACCCCAGGGCAGCGTCATCCTCAAAGGGAAATCTCGAAGTCGTCGAGAACTTTCTCAGCGAGATCGTTCCAGCAGCAGAATTGGGCCTCTCGATGACCAGCCAATCATCATACCCGACATGCATACAAGAAGCTGACCAGTGACAGCGACAGTGACTTCAGCAGAGATCACCATGCAGCCTGATGCCTCTACACTGATGTCAGGCGAGATGCGGCTGAGGGCCCCACCGCTATCAGCAGAGAGGGCACCATCTACTTAAATCGCAGATCATCCCAGGCGATCTAATGAAGCAGATCATGATCATGATGGAAGGCCACTACAGACTGGAGAAGCAGCCATCCCAGGGTCCGAGCCTTTGAAAGGCTCCAGCGTGAACAGCACCCCAGAGGCACCCCCTGTCAGCGTAGCAGCCCGCGGCGATGCAGCCAGCGAAGGAAGTCACAGACCACCTCGACGAAGGACCCAGATGTACAGCCTTGCGAAGGCCTTGGCGGGAAAAGATCATCACCTTCTTCGGCGTCATACTCAGATCACGGAATCTGATCATCAGACCTCCGCGGAAGCCTTCGCGAAGGTCATATCACCGTTCCCCAGGACCCGGACGCAGAGAGGAAGCTTAGCGAAGTTCGCGAAGGACACCTGAACCCAGATCGTCATCATCTAAAAGGACATCGAGGGACTACACAAGAGCTTGCGAAGCTACCAGCGGTCCCCTCACAGGTCTCCAAGAAGATCAACCTATCGATGTAGATCACCAAGGCGATCGCCTCGCCCGATCCCCGCGCCCGATCTCCACATACATCACCGCGTCGATCACCTCACAGGTCTGCACACAAGCCTACAACTAGATCTCCACAAGCGTCAAAGCGATATAGAGATAGAGCCACACAGTCCTACATCAGAAGAGCAACAACCTCTCATTAATGATGATGGAATGGAAGATGATGGAGGAATTATTTTCTCAGATGCAGAGATAAGATATTGGATGGTCAATAATCTAGATCTCTCATCACCTTCAAGAGTGGCAACTTCGGCGCAGACATACCTGATGAAAGAAGGCGATGCAGATGCTATCACACTACCCCAATCGACCCGATTAGCGGTACCACAGAACCTAGATACAGCATTCCACAAAGCCACGAAGGTTCAGACACCACATCTGCCAAACTTTCCGCCAAAGAAGTTCTCCACGCATAATATGGACCCCTTCTTCAAAGGCAAGACATCGATGAGAACTACAAGCTGATCTCCGATGCCAAGAACAAGTACTACAAGATTGATGATGAAAATTGGTTCAGATAGAAACCATGGCCAGGGCGTATGTTCTTTGGTCTAAATAGATCTAGAACAATAAATGAGACACTTATCACCAGATTTAAGTAACCACGACCTCTGAAGATGATAGAATGATTTACTTTCGGCCCTACTGATGCAAAGAAGGACCAGCAGTTCTTAACAGATCATCTCACGTCTGTCTCAGCAGCACTGACCTTAGCTCGTCGTCAAGGCCTCCTGGCTTCCTGCAACTGGGGTGAGAACTTTACAGCTCCACTATATACAGCCCGTGGTCTTCCCCATCCATCTTTGGCGGAGGAATAGACAAAGTCTCCAAGGAAGTCACCAAGGATTCCAGAGAAGTCCTGATGATTAAATCGATGGACCGCTAGCCAGTGTCATTCGACAGACTTCACAAAGATACTCAGGGAGATCTAAATTCACGGGCCTACAAAGAGCAAGAGACAGGAAGATAGCCAGTTCAGGGGAAGAGATTCTTTTAAATTAAGCCCATATGGCAACTATAGAGGAGGGTCAGGAAGAGGCAGGACACCCAGAGGTTCCGCAACTATAAGCGCTGAAAGACAGGTTGGAGCGACTGGAGTCTTCCACCCCAGCCGTTCCAGTACAACCGTCACAAGTGGGTGGGCGTCTCCAACTACACTGGGAAAACTGGGGAATGCTTCAAGACACCTATGTCTCCAACATTCTTCAACACGGTTTAAGTATCCCACTACAGGCCAAGCCTCCGCTAACAGTCAACCCTCACAAGTTCGGCGTACAGGCACAGCAACTACCAAAGTTAAGAGAGCTGTTACATTACTCCTAACCAAGCAGGCCATAGAAGTAATAGATCAAGGAAACATCGAACCAGGTTTCTACTCCCCAGTTTTCCTAGTACCCAAGAAAAACTCCAAGGAGAAATACAGACTCATTTACAACATGAGCTTCTTCAACAAGACTTATCTCGCAGACCACGAGGTTCCGCATGATACATCTACCGCAGATTCTGCACATGATTAAGCCCCATGGACTACATGGGCAGTATAGATCTACAAGATGCTTATCTGCACATCCCTATACATCCCGAATCCAGGAAATACCTACGGTTTACACTAGGCGGGTTACATTACCAGTGGAAAGTACTCCCATTCGGAATATCATCAGCCCCATGGTTATTCCGCGAGGATATAGCGAAACCGATTGTCACCCTATCTACATCGTCAAGGGCTACGCCAGTGCGTTCTTCCTCGACGGACGGGATACAAGTAGATCAAGATCCACAGCATCTCAAACTACAGTTAAACTACATCATAAAGCTACTAACACAGCTGGGATGGTTAGTAAACTTACTCAAGTCGGACCTAGTACCATCGCCAAGATCTGCAATTCCTAGGCATTCGATTTATCACCAATCTCAACCGTATAGTCGTACCAGAAGACCGTTGGCTCAAGATCCAACAGATCATTCCACCAGCCCTACTCTCTCGCTACCGCTTGACAATGGCAGAGCTTACTAGGTCTTCTAACATCAGCCCAAGACTTGACAGTCAGAGGCAGATTACAGTTCGTCCCTTACAGGTCTTCATCAACACACATCTCGGCGACCTACAACCATTCAGTCTACGAAACATCTCAGACCTCATCTACTATGGTGGACCAAGAAATCGAATGTCTGCGAAGGGATTTGTTTAGCAGAGCAGGAATTCAAAACCAATCTATATGTAGACGCGTCGCTCCAAGGTTGGGGAGCTCATCTCACCAACCGGACGGCATCAGGGTTATGGAATCAGCTAGAAAGCAAGCTCCACATAAACTCATTAGAGATGAAAGCTGTAATCAACGCCATAAGACATTGGAGCAACATTCTACAGAATGCGCACCTAATGATACATACCGACAACTCGACAGTGGCATTCTATGTGAACAGGCAAGGCTCAACGAGATCGCCGAACCTTTTGACTTTAACCTATCAACAATCAACTACCGACATTCGTGTCACCAGTTCCAGACCCACAAGCATGGGCAACGGACGCTCTAAGCATATCATGGGAAGGCCTCAATGCGTACGCGTTTCCGCCCCCAGCAATAATACCTCAAGTATTACAGAAAATCAGTCAAACACAGAGCCTACAACTCATTTTGGTCGCGCCCTACTGGCCGGCCAGAACGTGGTTTCCCATTCTAATACAAGAAATCGGTCAACCGCACTAGAGCTACCCAAGCATCGCTGTTAATACATCCACACACCAAACAGGTGCACAGAAACCCAGAGGTATTCAAACTTCACGCATGGACTGTATTAAAATGTGTTTAAACAAGAGAGGATATTCTACCAGAGCGCAAAGCGGTCACGCTTTGCCTTTACGATACTCAACTCGTAACTTGTACTGCGGCGACAAGTGGCACAGTTTCAAAATTACGCAGCAAACAAGGGTTTTATAGCAGAGATGCTACGCATCCTCAAGTGGCAGACTATTTGTGTTACTTTACGCCAAAACAAACATTTAAAAGGCTTGACATTGTCCACATATCTTGCGGCAGCTTAGTTCTGTGATTTCTATGAGAGCGGGTGTTAAATTGACAAAAACACCAGAGTTACTGGCCTTACTACGTGCTTTCCGATTGGAGGACCAAAGCGGAAGTTCCACGCTAGCTTGGGATCTGAATGTAGTGCTACAACACCTCACAAGTGAGGATTATGAACCATTGGAATCGACAACCTTTGAATTTCTCTCACAGAAAACAATTTTCCTGTTATCGCTAGCCACGGCAGCCAGAATATCTGAAATTCACGCTCTAGATTATGAGAGGATACAGTTTGATGACAATCAAAACACAGCACCTGGGATTAAGATGGATTTCATCGCCAAAAAATCAACTACCAGGCCAATCAGACAGGTTATTTCATCGTCCCTGCACTATCCTCGATTCTCGGATCTCAAGATACATTGGACTTACCTCTATGCCCAGTAACGAGCTCTCAAAATCTATTTACGTCGTTCCAAAACAAAGGCGAAGATCGCCAGAAGATTGTTCATCCCGTTATAAGCCTACTAATCAGACACAGAAGTCTCGTACCACCATATCTATATGGATAAGGACTGTCATTCTACAGCCTACAAGGCAGCAGGACTGGACCCTCCAACAGCATCAAATCCCCATGAAATCAGGGCATTGGCTTCCACCCTCGCCCTTCCGGTAACTGTTCATTGAATACAATTATGGAAGGATGCTTCTGGAAATCTAACATGGTGTTTGCTAATCACTATCTGAGAGATATCACCACCGAGGGCGTCTCTGGCATTCACCATTTCGGTCCTTTGGTCCTCGCTCAGCAACTGACAGTCCCTCGTGGCGTTAATATTCACCCCCGAGATTATTATGTATATTATACATACATTATTTAGCTTATAACTCCACGGAGTTCTAGGGCTATGTATATATTTAGCTTAGGTTATTCAACCTTAAGCTCATACTGAGTTTTATGTTCAATTGTACAGCTTCTCTATCAGAGTAAACTTTTATATCTATTTATATAATTTGGTATATCAGTATATGAGTAATGTAATACCCCAGTTATGGTAATATATAACCTATGGCTTATTATAGAGGAAATATCCTAAGTCAATGCCTTTATGAAGTTCCGCGAGGTTATTATAGTATAAGTTATTTAAATCACTAATTATAAATCCAAAGTATTCTGTTTATGCCCACCTCCACTCCGGAGGATTCTACAAGCAAAAGAGCATGAGTCAGGATAAGGAAAAATATGTAATTTTTTGAGTAAAATTGATATTTTATACTTATCCTGACTCATGAGGTTAGCCCTCCCATCCTCCCCACATAACACTTTGGATTTCCCTGTAAATTCAAGTGTTGGGCTCACTAAATCAGGAGAGAGTGAAGCATGAGGCCAGAGGGTGGCGACACCTGTTCCCGCGCTTTCGGCAGGGGAGGCAACTCTTGGGTGAGTACCAATTAGTGATTTTACATTGAAGGGAGCTTCAATTAAGGAGATACAAGTGTTCCACTATGTTCGCAAGAGGAAGGGGACAAGCAAAAGAGCATGAGTCAGGATAAGTATAAAATATCAATTTTACTCAAAAAATTACGTTCCTCATCGTTAAAATTTAGAGGGGGATACAGGCGGAAGTCTTACCACTCAGGTTATATCATGGTAGGGCGGATGCCCAGTCGCTGTCATGAGAAGGTTTATTGACAATGGAAATCAGGAAGTTAAGTTATATAAAGAGTAAACAAACATTAATATTATTTACCTGAGATCATTAATACCACTTCAGATGCAAAACCATTTCCCTTTATTTATTACAAAAAATAGCAAGTGAAAAATTCAGTTGTCTGCTAGTGACAGGCAACTTATAAATAGGAAGCGAAATGGTCACAGCACTCTTGCAGTTTGAAGGGAAATGTATGGCTCATCGTTGAAAACCCATACAAAATCCCCAGATGTGGAGAGCGGCAACACTTTCGCCGATATGATGTCATTAACGCTATTTTTGTAGGAAACACTTGATATATTTGTGTGAAATAGATGAATATATCCTTTATCACTCAAGGTTAGAAACATAAAAAGTTTAAATGATATTAAAGATAAAAATTACGATTTTGTCTTACATTGTCGAAAACCTCTGATACCGGGATATGATTTACAACAAATTTCCATGTTTCTGCAGTTTAACCATATTTCATGGCATCTGTGCAGTTAATTCTGTCAGCAATAAAATGTCACTACACATGAATTGAAATTGAGGGAAATACATAAATGTGCAATTCGCTAAACATAAGCCACTAACATGTATAGATATTTTTGTTTTCTTGTAAATGAACATTTAGTCCATACCATTTAAGATAAGGAAAATAGATATAATAATTCTTAACTGTAATGCGAAGTGGTAATGACAATGAGTAATTGCCCTTTAGTTTGACATTACACAAAAAATGAAAGTAGTCCTGTAGTTATTTAATGCGATCAGCTGAACAGAGAATGCTTACTAACCTCCTTTAGAGAGAGGCACGGTGGGATAGACTAGGGGTTAAAGTGATCACTCGTCACTCCGAAATCCCGGGTTCGATTCCCCACATGGGTACAATATATGAAGCCCATTCCTGGTGTCCCCTGCCGGGATATTGCTGGAATATTGCTAGAAGTGGTGTAAAACCAAACTCACTCACTGCTTTTGAAAGAGGGCTAATTATTTAATGCATGTATATCGCTGTGCAGAGTTGTATTCCCTGGCCATGACAGAAACCTATGATGGTAGGTTTGAATCCAGGTTCAGTCCTCCCATGTTTCTGGGTTTTGTTGAATTCACCAAAGTGTTAAACACTTGAGACCTACATTACTTTGGGATTTCCTCCAACATGAAGCTGACATGCCATGATATAACTGGAATACTGTTTAGAGCGGCATTACTTGCAATTTACTCACTTCTTCCTAATATTTGAAAGTTAAATTAAATTTAAAATCATCAGAATACAGACCACCACACATTATTAAGGTCATTGCAAGATGGACTGAGGCTGATAGGGAATCTTATTATATTGTCACTCTTGGTTGTTACCAAGGTTTGGTAATTGTTCCAGGGTACGTCACATCATTCATTTGACCCCAGAACGAGTATATAAAACTTTCACTAAAGTTCAATTACATGAAAGAATATTTCCCTTATCATGCTTATTGTGTTATCACTGAAGAGTATTAACTTATTTAAATATTAACTGACAAAGGACAGTTTTAAAAGGACAAAGCATCTCCAAAACATGAATGGTTTTTAGCACTGTTCATTGTACAAAATGCTGTAGATGTCTTTAAAGTAATTTGAACTTAATATGTTTGCTTGTATTAAAGTAAAACTATCTTTTTCAGGCCTCAGTTGGGAAGCTTGCAAGTGGGCAGTGTGGACACACAGATAGGAACTATGTGACAACTGCCACTGGTACACAGGTAGAACACTAAACTCAGTCAAGGGAAGAACAATGTTTGGGAGTGGGCAAGTCGTAGTAATACTAGTATTACAGGGTTACAAGGAAGTAGGGTTATGCATACATTATAATAAATATAAAGTACAAAAACACAAACCCAGATAACACCAGTTTAACGAGATAGTGTAATAACACTACCTACTTTGTTTATTAATGACATGATATTTTCAGTGTTTCACATGCTCCATAATGTCCTTGTGTCTGGCAAAGAAAGCCCTCATTGTCAAGCTATATTTGAGGGGGGAAAGTGCCCTCTGTACACAAGAATATATGGTACTACTGGTATATTTTTGCACAGAGTCCCAAAGTACCCTGCACGAAAGCAAGTCATCTTTATTGAAGTAATTACACATGATTTTAGTGTTGATTATAAGGACCTCCAAGTTGTAATGCGGAGTAGACCAATGTTAATCAGTTACAACAGTATTTCAGTCACAGTAGCCTTCAACAATTTTCCTGTAGAGTCTGTAAGATTATATGAAACTGTTTAGTGTAGGTTATTTTTAATAGATGAGAACAGGGATGTGTCATGTTGTTTCAGACTGAGTCTCTGGCTCGATATGGTGGGCGGCATACCGTCACGCTCCTCACGGGGATGGGTGTGGTCCGGAACTGCTGAACCATGTGAAGGATGTCTTCAGGTAAGTAGTCTCCACAGCTACATCAGTCCATGTCAACCCCAGGTGTCGCTTGGAGTCACATGGTTTTAATGATAGTTTGTCACTTAGAATGATATCAAACCAGAGACAATTGTCATCCATGTGACCTGTTTACTGACACAATTGTAACTTGCAAAACTAATTTCCTTTAGGGTCCTTTCAGGTGATGTGAGGGTGCTGTACTGTTTCATCATTACGCTAATGACATGACCTCTCATTTCCTGGCATGAGATTGATTCATTGTATATCATCATGTGACCCTTGTGATACAGAAGATATGACAAGGAAACTGTGTTTTGGGAAATCTGCAGGAGCTTGTCGTACAACAGCACAAATACAAAGGGAAATACCTCCCAACTGGAGCACACACTAATATTAACAGCCCTGAGTTATACACAAGGTCATGGTCACTAGCAGTGTATGGTAGGACAGTCTGCAGTTTCCTAACAGTAACTTTAAAATAATTTTGGGCAAAGATCTTTTCGAAAATCTAGGCCCTAGTATCTGAGTTGTTAGTTGTTTAGGTTTTGTTTTATAGCCTATAATAGTTCTGATCACAGAAGTCATTATAAATACCAAAGTTAATACAAACTTGATGATGATGCAATATCTACTTACAGACATGCAGGTGCCCCCATAGACTTTGAGGTTGTGGAGATCAATGCAACAACCAATGAGCTGGAACATATGAAGGGGGCCCTACTATCAGTACGGAGAAATGGGGTGGCCATTAAAGGTATATGTCATTCAATACGATTTGAGAAAGCACAGACTTACTGCTATGTAGGTTGTGATTGGAATTCATGTTGGTAACTACTTGATATACTTTCTTGTCTTTGTGTGGGTCATTGAGTGATGTAATTGTGCTGCTGTTTCATTGCTTAGAGGCTAATCACATTTCAGACTTGTTGCTTGATTTCTCACGATATATTCCATATACTATTGAAAATGTAACAATTCCTTAAATTGTCATTGTTTTCAGGCAATATTGAGACAAAATTTGATGATCCAACATTTTCTTCAATGAACGTTGCTCTAAGGTAAAGTATGGTCAAACTTTGTGCATTAGAATGTCATTTCTTGATGACTTTATGTATTAGTATAATACATCTGTAGAGCACTTTATATCCATCCCAAAGATACTCACTGGCATTGAGGACAAATTATGCTGCAAAGCGCAGACATTATTACCTGTGAGGCACTAGAAGGTTAACAGTCATATAACCATCTTATCCCACTGGGTACCCATTCACTGCTGGGTGAACAGAGGCAATCTTAAACTAACTCATTTGCCTAAGGTGAGACCACATATATCACATGTGCTTCGTTGTGGGGCAGGACTGACATCCTAGAACCTCTCAGGACACAAGCTGCGAAACACAGTTGCCCAATATCTGAATTGCTCAAGTACTTTTGTGCTTTTATTTCACAATATTAACTGCCTGGAAACCGATTCTGCGATCATACACAGGTTTGTCTGTGCCAGTTTGTTTACAAGCTGCTATGACATAACTAGAGTATTGATGTATGAGGCATAATGCAATAAACAAAATCTTCTGACAGTAACTTCGTGAAATGAGCATGAGTCACCAGTAGGTATAAAATGTGATGTTCAGTTTGGTGTTTGCTGTTATATAACCAGTCCTCACTCCACCTGTTGTAGAACCAGTCTGAACCTGTTTGCCAACATTGTGTGGTGTAAAAGCATCCCTGGTTTCTCCTCTCGCCATGACAACCTCGACATCATCCTCATCCGAGAAAACACTGAGGGGGAGTATACCTCACTGGAGCATGAGGTCAGTCTGTTCAGCATCATCAGCTACCCTAGTCAAGTGGTTGTAGACACACCCTACATCTGTCTGTCAGTGTAGCTTGCTCATGATACATCCGTGCTGCACTGAAGTAAACACATGTATCATAGCCACTGTCTTTTAGTCTATGGTTAGATTTTCCATCTCTTGATGTACCTTTGAAATTTGATGGGACTGTGGCACTAGTGGTAGTCTTATAACCGATATCTCATATTCCAGTGTAAATACCAACAGATTTGAAATTATTCCCTTCATTAGAAGTATTCAGGTTGTGTGATGTGTACAAACATGACAATGACTGAAGCACTTCTTTGTCAGAATGTTCCTGGTGTCGTGGAAAGCCTGAAGATCATCACAGAGGAGAAATCCACCCGTATAGCTAAATATGCCTTTGACTTTGCTGTCAAACACGGCCGTAGGAAGGTCACAGCCATCCACAAGGCCAACATAATGTGAGTGGTAGACACGGGTGTCAGGCACAGTATTCACACAGGTTTACAACCATTATTTGTTACAAGGATGTTGTAAAAACTGAATAATAATAATTATTATCAACATCTTACTCAAGGAATGGCAAAAAGCTTTATAAGGGGGGACGGTGGGGTAGCCCAGTGGTTAAAGCGTTCGGTCATCACGCCGAAGACCCGGGTTCAATTCCCCAAATGGGTACATTGTGTGAAGCCCATTTCTGGTGTCTCCTGCAGTGATGCTGTTGGAATATTGCTAAAAGCGGCGTAAAAACCCAACTCACTCACTCACTTTATAAGGCAGGTTTGTGATAATCTGTGCTTTTTGTACTAAAATTGGGATAATGACTTTGAGGTTCGTCTGAAATAACAACACCAAAATGGTCCATCATTCTGTAGATGATCTTGTCTTGGTCGTGCTTGTTATGTCTCATCATTCTTGTAGTGTATAAATGACTGACCGACACATTATTTTTCAGGAAGCTGGGGGATGGTTTGTTCCTGGAGTGCTGTCGCAGTGTGTCCAAATCGTATCCAGATATTGAGTTTGGTGACATGATTATTGACAATGCCAGCATGCAGGTAACTAGCTGCACTCATGATCCCCTAGTAAATCTGTCTGCATGCATATTAGCCCCTCTTTGATGACAGAACCTTGTTGAACAATGTATTTTGAAACTATTTATAGAAGTTGCCTTGGTTATAGGTTTAGAAACAAATACCAGTTGTCAACGTTCCTGTGAATTCACTGCTTCTGAAAAATTTAGACAGTGCAATTAAATATCTACTTTTGTTCTCCCTCTTACCTAAAGCACAGCTAATATGTAAACATGAATATTCCCAATACTGAAGTCATACATGGACTCATACAAAACAATTTACATAAATAAACATTGTTCATGGTCATAGCTTTGCAGATTTATGTGTGTTGAAAAGCCATTGAATTCAGATGTTTACTTTAGTAGGCATTCAAAATGGATATTGAACCTTTGTGAACTCATCGGATTTTCTTAACCAAGTTCTATCTCATGTAAATAGCCTAAACATGACTAGAATCTGTAAACTTTCAAAATCTTTAAAACCTTGGAAGAAAACAATATGTACGCAATCTGTTTTAGTAAGTATCCAGAGTTACTTTCCCCTTCAGTGATTCAGTAATTGGCAGATCCCTTTGGCAACCAATGTGTCTAAAGCTGTAACAAACTAACCGAAATTCCCCAAGTGTACCATATTTTCATAGGGGTGCCTGAAAGTTGTCCCCTAACATTATGTCTGAAGGTGATAATGGATTGTAAAATATGTATCATACTTCTGATTGCCTTGTGTTAATGTTTGTTGCTCATTGCCCACTAGATGGTGTCTCGGCCACAGCAGTTTGATGTCCTTGTCATGCCAAACTTGTACGGCAACATCCTTGGCAGCATCGCCTCCGGACTAGTGGGCGGGGGCAGGAGTTGTGCCTGGCATGAACATTGGAGAAAAATATGCTGTCTTTGAAACTGTAAGTCAAGTTACTTTGGTTATGCAAAGTATGTTGTATGTGCTTTCAAAGACTCACGATCAGCTGTTTTGTGCTTTTATTCCTTATTTGCCAAAGAAACATATTGTACTTATGATACTATGTTGTTGCACTTTGAATCTCAATATTTGTCAATTATTGGATCATGTTTCCTGGAGCATTTTGTGGAATGGAGGCAATATGGACATGAACTGTGAAGAGTTGTGTCCCATAGTTGTGATAGGATCAGCTGATTGTGTGGCTGAATCCCAGATTGCAACATGTGAGTTTCAAGAAAATGTTACATGTCAATTACCCGAGTCACAGCCCAAAACATGTGGCCTCTAATTCAGCTCAGTCAGTCCTTCCTCTGTATGTTGGCTGGAATCACTTGACTATCTGAGCTGGGTTAAAGGTGCTGGCAAATTAATTAGTTAAGTTCAAATTGCATGTGGTCAGTGATCGCAGTTGTGTATTGAATATTGTTATTAGCAGACAGGCAGGCAGACACACAGGTGTCAATAAAACAAGACATTGAGTTTTGTCTGTGACAACGACATATCTATATCACAGTTAGAAATTCTGTCAACGCTAAATAATGACATTGCTTTTAAGTATCGAACTGAGAAAGTGACTCGGTAAGAAGAACGTGTGGTGAAATAGACAAATGAAATTATATAAACAGTTTATTTACTGTCATAACATATAAAAAGCTCGCGCCTGTGAGATATCAACAAAACATTAGGAAATTAGCTCACACCTAAGCCTTCACCGAGTATTCACCGGACAGCCCGCTTCCAAGTTGCGCGAACCTATTCCACTGCGCACGTGCTATGAGCGCAGCCCAGCTGTTGAAACCAGTTTTCCCAAGAAAAGTCGGGGAAAAGTAGTGAATCGTTTGAACTCCGATTTAAGCGGTTTTTTTCATCGCGTTATTTTTCAACTTTATAAGTTGAATTTGCATTTTTGATGATTTGTTTCGGTAAGTCCATACCGAAAGGTATCAGAATCTGCAAAGTTGTGTTTTACGTTGCATGTGACCTTTAAGAGGTGACTGACAGGATTGGATGGTTAGGCTTGATGACTTGGTTGATTCTTGTCTTGGATCCTGATTGGTATGGATCAGTCTAGACTTAAGAATTTACAAATATTCCTGGCGATAAACAATCTATCGAATATGGGAACTTTCCCAATGCTTTTATGTTGAGAGCCAGCAGTAAATACTGACACTGACTTAAGCGTCATCAAAGAATGAGAAAAACAATTGGCGCACCACAAGAGACATGAAGTTATTGTTTGAGGGGATACTGAATAAAGTTTCTTCAAAGTTGATGATGATAATATCACAATCTGTTATTCTTTTTGTGATCACAATAGTGGACATGGTCCAAATATGTGTCCTATGATGGTTACATGTATGATCAGGTCTGGACACATGATTTGATTTATCTGTGTCTTTTCAGGGAACTCGAAACTCTGGCCGCTCCTTGAAGGGCAAGAACATTGCCAACCCGACCGGCATGCTGCTGGCCAGCTGTGACATGCTGGACTACCTCGGGTAGGTGTCTCCACAGGCAGTATTGTTACTGAAGTAGGGGTTAGCTCTTTCATTCTTAACAACCCGTGAAGGTCCGGGTTAGAATATTGATCTTCAGTAACCCATGCTTGTCGTAAGAGGCAACTAACGGGATCGGGTGGTCAGGATTGCTGACTTGGTTGACACATGTCATCGGTTCCCAATTGCGCAGAGAGATGCTCATGCTGCTGATCACTGGATTGTCTGGTCCAGACTCGATTGTTTACAGACCGCCGCCATATAGCTGGAATATTGCTTAGTGCAGCGTAAAACTAAACTCACTCACTCACACTCATTCTTAACAGGACCGCCTCCGTGGTGTAGTGGTAAGAGCGTCCGCCCAGAGTGCGGAAGGTCGCGGGTTCGATCCGCGTCCGTCCGCGTCATACCAAAAGACGTTAAAATATGGTACTTGTTGGCCCCTGCCTGGCGCCCGGCATTAATGGGTACAACAAGGACTGGTCGGCTTGGAGTCAGTATAATGTGTCTGAGTGGGGTATTCATGCTTCACTGCGGCATGGTATCTCAGTGGGCTAGCACTATAAAACCAGCTTCAGTCTGGGCTAGTACAAGCAGCCGCACATACACATACACCGCATGCACGTCGTCATATGAGCGAAATATTCTCAAGCACGACGTTAAACCCAATTCCACCACCACCATTCTTAAACAGAATCTGCCATTAGAATATGAGTTCAAGAAAAAACAGGGTGAAAATAAGATATGCCATTTAAAATATGTCACATCATTTATGACATGATATATATTGTGTTTCAGTCATCATCGCCATGCCACACTGATCAGAGAGTCCACCATGGATGTGCTGGGAAAGCATGAGGTACAGTCTTGTTATTGGGGTGATACTCATAGTCGGATACACGTCACAATAATGACAGTATAATCTTAACAGAAGTATGTGGTTGACTTGTGCGACAGATGTACCTGATAAATACAATTAGGCTGACTGTCTATAATGGCCGACTTGATTTAATGATGGCGTCTAGCAGTGCTGTCTTTAAGTCATGTTAACAAATGTTGTATCAACTTTTGTTTGGTTACATTGACATATGAAAATGAAAATTCTATTCACCGTTGTGATGAGATTCTTTTTGTTGATGTAAACACTGTAAGGAGCCAAGGTAGAATGTATCCCCGACTCCCCACAGTGTCACTGGCTCCTTGGCTCCCAAGCACAAATATCCCCAGCTCACCACAGTGTCACTGTAGGGAGCTTGGACACACCTTGGTTCCTTACAGCATTTACATCAACAAAGAGGATTACATCACCTTGCATGACACACAGTACCATCCATGCAGAAAGTTTCATCACCTCTAATTTATAAATACCATTAGGGACCATGTAAGAAGAACAAGAACAATCTCCTATCTTCAGTTAAGATCACTGAAAGTTGATTGCCTCCTTTGTGGTACCATCTTGTGTTTGGTTCCACTTGTTCAGTCAGCTGCTGGTGCGGTGGGGTAGCCTATTGATAAAGCACTGATGACACAGTGTTGTTTCCATGTTTCTGTGGGCACAATGTGTTCTCCCCAGACTGGTGTCTCCTGATGTTGGTGGCCAGGCTACAAGCCACGAAAGACTAAACTCAGTCAGTCAGGCTGTCATTGAGGACCTCAAACCAAGACGAAAACATGGTATGTACAGTAGTAGCAATATTCAGAGTCTCACACCATATATAACAGTACAGTTGCTCAACCCTTGGTAGGAATAGTCCCATCATAAAACACTGATCAATTTTGGATATGTATCTAAGTAAATACCATGTCTCAATGTCCCTATTAAAGGTTGAGTAGTATAAATATTCATTTACATACGTTTAATAATGACCTTCACATACTTAAAACATCTGACGTGCTAATCATAACTGACATTAAGCATGTTAACGATACTTGCATATTTTATTCAAAAGCATGTAGTAAGCTCATTGTTTCTTCTTTATTTATGAGAGCAGTTTGATATTGATGTATACTTTTGTTTACCAGTCCCATCTTTCTTTGTAATCTTGTTAGTTGGAGTATATGTAGCTGTTTTACTCTGTGTTCCTTCCTAGGAATGTCTTCTTGTCCCGTCAGCAGAGACAATCGTAGCTCCACTCTCTCAACCACATTCCTCATATGTGGTAATACTAGTTGTCATTCTTTCCTCAGTCCTCGTCTGACTCTTGCCCATTCAGACAACTTGAACCTTTGTTGAATAGATGTCCTTGATTGGTTTTCTACCCTTTGATTATGTCAGAACAGTTGTGTAAACCAGTCAACCTTTCCTGCTTTCTTCCAGTTTCTTCCCTTCTTTTTCACTTTATGCGACTGAGTGAGTGAGCAAGATTTTGTCACATCACTAGTATTTCAGCCATAGCGTGGCTGATGCCACTAAGGGCACTAAATGTATCCAGTATTTGTTAGTTATTTGTTGCACATTGTCATATGAGCTGGAAGAGCTCCTCAATCCTGCACTATTCATGAATTTGATTGGATTTTATAATTGGTCAATCAATCAGTGATCATTAGATGAAATAACCAAGAGTGTGGGTGAAGGTAAAATTGGGTTTAATGTCTCATTTGAGTTACTAGCACCTACTTAGTGACATGCATGGACATGATGGATGTGCGTGTGTTATACTATTAGTCACAAGATTTAAAACAAAGAGAACCTCATGTTTCTGCTTGTTCTCAAAAAAAGACAGAATACTTGAAGTTCATTCTCACTTAGTACATGGAGCTGATACAGTTACCACCAATGTACTGTCTTGAGAGTTGGTATGGAAAGCATATTGTGTTCAGTATGTTCATAGTTGTCTTATCCGTGTGTAAGAAAAGGTGCTTCTACATCTATAAATATACAGCCAATTTTCTACGTCTATAGATATATAGCTAATGCTCTCTTAGATAAAATGTCTATAGTTCCCCTTCAGCATTGTCCATTTCTCTTCTTCCTCATCTGTATGTGCACCCATCCGTGTGCTCCCAGCTTTGTTTTGCCCTTCCTTGTTTCGATTCTGTTCTTCTTGTGTTTTATTTACACTGATATCCATTATGCATCATCATGCAACCAGTAACAGTGCATTTTATAAAGTAACAGTGCATTCATTACAGCAACAGTGCATTATATGATTGTTTGTGTTTCCCAAGGTGTTAACGTCAACATTGTGTGATTGTTGAGTGGTAGGTTGCTACATTTCCTGTAAGTCTTGGCTAACCCATCCTCCACTATCTACAGCATTATATCTCCATTCTATTTGGACAAACGTGGGACACATTTGCCTCCTTAACTTGGTTTGGACACTCATAATAGCAATCCCATGACATCACACTCTTGAGTATTAGAAAGTTTATGCTCAGTTAAAGTAGAGAGTGATGAGATAATAAGTCAGGAACTAATCTCTTTGGCAAATGTGTCTGTGGAGTTTATTGAAATAAGATGGAGATACAGTACACTAGATAATGGAGAATGATGCTAACATACTGATTGAATTAACTAGTGTAGACATACTTTCTGTCTTAGGCTTCTGTTTTCCTGTAAGTTCAATGCTAACCTACTTATTGCACTAACATATCATCACCTCCTTCCTGTCATGGGTATATGTGTACATTATGAAGATTACAACTGTACCAAGAAGAATTCACTTATTTTAGTATCATACTTACATGTTACACTTACCCTAGTACTCTATGTATCATGAATATGCAGGTCCAATCTTCAAAATGAAGATTGAAAGTCAAGGGATATGTGCCAGAAAGTAGTGTTATGAATGGAAGTTTAATAGATTCCGACAGTATTATGGAAGGTTTATTGTGAAAAAACATATACATCATGTACTTGTTTGAATTTGTTTGTAAACTGTGTTTGAATGTAGATGATAATATGTTAATTACAATATGTAATATCTCTTGCAAACCCATGACAGAAACTTCTCGTTTTTTCAGTTTCATGCACAAAATTTATTACAAATGTTTTGTTCACATTATTAGTCTTTTTATTTTCTTTCTGGAATGTCGTGCATACTGTGCATGCTTTGAGACTAACCTGATTGTATGAGTTATGCATCATGCCTGATAACAAACTGATACAGTGTAGCGGGCTTACCCTTCATCCAAACAGAGAACCCTCTCAGTTCAGGAAGACAGGCCTGATTGTTTGGTGTATCCCTTGTATCCAATGTGGATTAGAGAGCCATTTCATGCCAGGCACAGGGTAAAATGGCATTTTTAAAATTTTAAAAGAATATGTAAGTGAGTATGTGATTTGTTAGAGAGAGATCCAGGCTGTGAAGCAGATTTGAGATGATTAGCTCTGATAAAACCCGTCGTCACACATTTACAACTATAATAAAGAAAATGTCGAGAATCCACCTAATACCACTGTGAACCTGAGCATATCTCATTATTTAGAATCAGTGATGTGGGGTCATTGTTGAACATCTTATCTAAGACACTGATGGTGGCTATGCAGAGTTGTGTCCCTTGGGTGCACCAGAAACCTTTGATCATGTGTTCAAATCCTAGTCCCTAGTTTGCCCGAACTGTTGCAGCAGCAGACCAGTGCTTGTGGCATCAGGTCTTCCTGTCACATCAAGCAGACAAAATAGAACTGAAACACTGTTCAAAGCAATCTTATGTCCACCTCACTCACTCTCCTAAATGCTGTCTGTATTGTGAGAGTTGTTCTGTTTGGATGAATGATAACCTAGATGATTGAGGGTGTAACATTTGGTACATACTTGGAATAACATGCATTAAATGAAGGTGTGCTTGAATTGTTCTAATCCACAGCATTTCCATGCTGTAACCTGGTGGTGAGTGGGGACTGTTGTACAGGAACATTCACAGAGTGACCAGCATACTACTGTATTATTACTGGTACATACCAGTTGATGAAGCATAAGGAACACACGAGATCTATTTTATGGTGTAAAAAGAGTTTTGCCTTATGAACTAGATTAGGTATGGTAGATTGAAGCAGTATATAGTTGAAATTTCTGTAGCTAAATCATGTTGTGTATTATCAATGAAATTATTTGGGCAGTAGGTTCATGAAGATAATGAGAAACAGTATGAAAACACAACTTGAACTCGAAGAGGGAAATATGTGATTTTGTGTTGATGTTCATCTCCAAATACATAGATTGAGATTCAAATCTGCAAAATGATACGTTTTGGTTTACATATTCCGTGGAAATACTCAGACAGTTTTATTTGATATTTCATGGCCATTTTGGAAATAAAATGTCAAGTGTCTGAGTGTCCAGTGTGAAAACAGTTACATGGACATGAATGTATTTCAGGGAAAGTTGGATGGGTTTGTCAGACAGTTCTGAAAACCAATATTAGAACAAGTAATGTCTACGTCACTCTGTGAAGGGCTTTATGTGAATGTTGTAACACTAATGTTAACTGATGCATGTCAATACTAACCTGTCACACTCACGCACAAATCAATGCACATCAGTAGATGCTGTTAAAATGTTTATTCATCTCGGAATAGACCCAGGATTCTCCATATGGGTAGTGTGTGTGAAGCCAATTTCTGGTTTCCCTGTCATGATATTGCTGGAATATTGCTTAAGTGGTGTAAAACCCAACTCACTTAACACATGGAGTGTGGTACAGTGAGATCCACACACATGGAGAGGTGGAGCGGGTGTTTCACTTTGTCTAACTGTTCCATGTCCTGATGTATTGTTGTCTGTGTAAAAGGCAAGTTGGACCATAAATGTTTTTAATGTGACACAGTGCCTTCTTGTTCTTTCTCCATGCTTGTCGTAATAGGCAACTAACGGGATTTGGTAGTCAGGCTCGCTGACTTGGTTGACATGTCATTGTATCCCAATTGTGTAGATCGATGCTCATGCAGTTGATCACTGGATTGTCTGTCCAGGCTCATTTACAGACCACCGCCATATTGCTGTGGGGTTAAACACCAGCCAACCAACCTTATTCTTTCTGGAGTAGATAGAGTAGGAATTCTTCAAAAGTAAATTTCATGTTGGACAGAGTTATTTTGATAAAGCTTTCGTGATAAATTATTAGCCGATAGAAGAAATTTTATATATGTATTTTAGATTATTGTGTACTTGAGCATGTTGTAGCTGTGATGTTATCAGTGCATATTAAGAAAGACAGAATCGTATTACACATTATCATTGTGTTATCATTGTTTTAGAGTTATGATGATGTGTGTTAACAGTATCATAATGCATGTGAAGCAGTTGCCATCATTGCCCTCTTGTTTCGATAGTAATTCTATGTATTAGGCCCCCAGGGGTCACAAGACAGATGGCTTGAGGATGTCCACTGGTCTGTATTTCATAGCATCTTACTTTACTCAAATACAGAACAGCATATTTTATTAAATATGCATACAAACTTTGCTTTTTGTGGATACAATTTTTCGCAAATGTTATCTGGTTAAATGAATGTCTGGATTTGTGAATCTCTGGGCAGTTAATTCTCCTACCCAAAGTCTAGCATATCCCAAAAGCTGTAATGAAATGCATAAGATTATTTTAATATAAGAGTACACTCAGAAATATTTAATGTTTGATACTGTATGACATCTATGGATGTTCACCTGTGGGTAAAATAGTCTTTTATGTGAAGACATAATAATTTCTGTACATTTGTTATAATACTAATTAATAGTGACAATCGCTGTTGTCATTCACTTTTACTTCAAGCAATACATGACCTGACATGAAATGGGAACAAATTGTCTTCTTTTTGTGTAAAAATAATGACATATATTTGATGATTTGATTGTAAGTGTGCATCACTACCTAATTGAGAATGATGGAGTAAACATGATTAAGGATATACAACAGCTCATAATATTCAGTGAACATACCAGCAGACATCCTTAGTCAGTGGTCACAATTTCTGTACATGGACATCAATGAGACACTCAGACAAAGTAATGCCTTGTTCTGTTTCAGGTCTGTACTTTCTGTGGATGCTTATACCTTGGTGATAGCTAATCTGTTTGGTATCATGAAAGTAATAGCATTAATAACAACTCATATTTATTCAGGTTTTCAGACTGGTTCAAGGTCATTGACTTTTGTCATCCAAAATGTCCAGGCCCTCCTTTCAAAACAACCTTATCTCTAAGATTTCAACCTTAGGCCTTTACCTTAAATGCCAGCCTTAGAGATAAGGTTAGCCTTAGTAAAGGTTGTTTTGTGAAAGGAGGCCCAGATGTTATACATCTATATGAATTTTGGTGATGGTATGAGAATGAATATTGATATACATCATGAAATGAATCTAATTTCTGTTGTCTTTCGCAACATCATTGCTTACTTTGAATATATAGTTGTTCCTCAGTATATTTAACATAGGAGATGTAGTGTTGGATGTGACACAGTGTTGTGGCTGTTTCAGATCCAACGGAACGGAAGGTTCTACAGTAGAGCAGCTGACCCACCCGGCACACCACCACACTGCAGCCATCTGTTGCAAGCATCTTGCATACAGGACGCTTGTGTAGAAGCAGCATTTCCCTTCCATGCCTAGCTAACGTTCCGCAATTAAATCTGATGATCTTTCTTCGATATTATTTATAATAATAATACTATGTAATATTTTGTAAATATACTGATATGGCAAATATCTGTGGAATTAATGAATCCTGTGTTAATTATATGTTTTGCTCAAATGTTGGACAGTCATAAAAAAGGGAAACTATGTGAAGAGGGAAGATTGCAATGAATTATGTACTGAAACACTTTGAAAACACATATTCAATATTCAGATATGTTTGAAAAATGGACACAAAGTTGAAATTTAGTTCAGTGTATTTAGGCATGAGATACTCAAAAACACAATGTCATACAGTCACCATTCTTGATAAATATTTATTGCTAAAATTGTTTTCTTTCCTCAGAGTTACATTTGATTGTTTTCATTGTGCATCTGTTTATAATAGGGTCATTGTTTAAATGTGAAAGGTAGAGAAAATGCCATTGGTCAAAGACTGTATAGCATGGAGGTCATCTAAAACGAGGAATCTCAGTTAAAGATAATTTTGACTAATGAAGCTCCTCAGTTCTTCATTTGTGATAAAAACAATCTGTGAATACTGTTCACACTCATCTATTGAGATTGTTTGTAGCAGTGTGTATTTGTTGTACAGGCATGTTTGTGTGGATTAGAGACGTTGCAGACACTTGTTTCATTAATAAACATGTTAACAGTGTGTTCATTTTCTTCATCAAGTACATCTAGAAGAGACTGTGAAGATCCGGGTTAGAATTGGTCTTCAGGAACCCATGCTTGTCCCATGGTGGTCAGACTCACTGACTTAGTTGACACATGTCATGGTATCCCAGTTACATAGATCAATGTTCAGGCTGTTGATCACTGGATTGCCATGTCCAGACTCACTGACCTAGTTGACACATGTCATGGTATCCCAATTATTGCCATATCCAGACTCAATTATTTACAAACTGCCACCATATAGCTGGAAAATTGCTGGGTGGGGCGTTGAACAACAAACCAACCAACCGACATCTGGAACATCTGTTCAATAAGTATTTCTGAGTATCAAGAATTATCAAACTGGTGATAGTCAACATAAGTTGCAAGCATGTTTAACTTCACCTCCAACGGTGACAGTGACAGGACTTCTGAAGTACAGTTGTAAGGAACGTCCCTCAACAGCTCCAAGGAGATGAGATTTTGGCAATTGTTGTGCTGGGAAGAAGTGCTGGCTTTCTCAAGATGAAAATGCTTATCCACGGAACTGTGGCCATTGCTCTTGTTTGAAATGTATAGCTGAGGCAGACCAGCGTCTCCCAACTTTAGTTACATAGAGCAACCTTAGGATTAAGCCTTTTTAGAGAAGCCACTCTCTGCACCAGGGTTTTTGGACTGTAATTATGGAGAATATATATGTTTGTTAGAATAACACAAAGGGACGGACCGTGAAGATCCGGATTAGAATTGATCTTCAGTAATCCAGGCTTTTCATAAGAGGCAACTGACTGGATCGGATAGTCCGGCTCGCTGACTGGTTGACACATGTCATCGTATCGCGATTGCATAGATCGATGCTCATGCTGTCAATCACTGGATTGCATGGACCAGACTCGATTAACCCATTTATGCATATCGTCCATTTTTTGGGACGGATATTTCACAAAAGCATTTCTCTCCTATTGTTGAAGATAGAAACTTGCAGTATTGACGTGAATGAAGCTGAGTAAATTGTTTAGTGGTTGAACCATTCACATTAGTTTAAGTTCTTTAAGCACGGCCACTTCTGGTGCAAGGCAACTTGGGGAAGTGTGAGGTAAGATGATTTTTATTCATATATAGTCGACACCTCATCCGTCTGTCCGTCCGTAATCAGTTTGTTTCCAGAGCATAACTCAAAAACCGTTCAATATTTTTCAGCAAAACTTGGTAGATATATCAAACAGATCCTTAAGTGGTGCCTTTTGCTATTTACAGGTTTTTATCATTTTTATTTTTCCCGGTTTCCATGGAAATGATTCGGACTTAGTCCCAAAAGGGAGGGGTGTGTTTCGTTCCGGAGCACAACTGGAAAACTTCTTAATATCTTTCAGCAAAACTTGGCAGATATGTGAGGCAGATCCCAAAGTGGTGCCTTTTGCTATTTGCAGATATTTGTGATTTATTATTTTTTCGGTTTCCATGGAAACGATTCGGACTTAGTCTCAAAAGTGAGGGGTGGGTTTTCGTTTCCGGAGCACAACTCAAAAACTTCTTAATATCTTTCAGCAAAACTTTGCAGATATGTAAGGCGGATGCCACAGTGGTGCCTTTTGCTATTTGCAGTTTTTGGCATATTCATTTTTCCCGGGGGGATATGTCATCTTCTAATGACTTTTGTTTTGTTGGTAACCATTTTAACTATGTAAGTTGATTAGAATGTAAAACTTTCGTTGTTGAACATGGAAAAATAAAATGAAAATGGTTTGCATTTTTACCATACTCAATTTTCCGCCAAAGTACTGTCACAAAAATGGGACAATATGCAGATGAGTGAACTTAAATTAGGTAAGCTATTAGGCTTAGGTGGGGGAGATCAACCTCTTTCGTGGAATAACACCAAACTGGCTTTTATATGTAACTATGTGTATTAACAAATTGAAACCTGAATATTTCATGGGCATTCTTGATCCCATAAAATGTTTTCTTATGAACTAATCATCAGAGTTGACTGTATCTTAAAAAGGTCTGCTGTTCTTTAAAACCATGGTTTAATTCATAACTATGTTCTTAGGAAATATGTGGGATATAGGGGATATGTCGCCATACTAAGGACCATAATCTAAACAGATACAAAATCTTGAATGCAAAAGCGAGGCATATTTTTAAACAAAGTAAACGTAAAAAAATATGTGTTAAGAATAAATTCACGTACGCCAATGTCCACCGCATGGAGTATGGTACAAAGGATCAAAGGTAAAAACTCTAAAACTTGCATCCACCACCTTAAAAATGGAAATGAAATATTAACAGATACTTCAGATATTGCAAATATACTAGCAGAAACTTTGGCTAAACATTCTTCTTCGTCTAACTATGTACCTAAAATTATCTAAAGCAGCAAGAAAAGAAATACTTAATTTTAATTCAGAAAATGGGGAAGATAATAATGAAATGTTTTCAATTCATGAGCGTCATAAAGCTCTTAAACAAGGCACGACGTTAAACCCAATTTCACCTCACCTCACCTCTTAAACAAGGTCAATATACTGCTGCAGTAACTGATAGTAGTTGTATTAACTCTTGAAGCACTTAAAGAATCGTGTTTAGAAACACTTTTAAAAAAAATTGATAGCATTTGGACGTCAGTGGAATTGTTCCAATTCCTTAACCTACACGTGACCATACCGATCCTTCAAATTATCGACCAATTTCACTAACTAGCTGCGTTTATAAAACCATGGAATGTAACGCATGATCAATAATTGATTAGTTTGGCACTTAGAAACCAATAATCTGGTATGTCATGGTGGCGCATACCCTTCTTCACGGATTAGACTCAAGATAAATTTCTGAAAAATGACTAGCATATACATAGTTTCTATTTCATCTCCAGGCTTATATTTTGTGGCAAGCTGTAGTATGGTAAAGATTGAACACTTCGTATATATATTTCCATTTTCAATGATTATCACTTTACATGTATTCATTTGAAGCATGGACAGACAACAGGAACCGACAGTCTGATAGCTACTTGCTTCGCGGAAAACGTGTGATTTTTCACGTGCTGTTCAAACACGTGATAAAACGAATTTTGATGATAAATCGAGTTGACATCTCGTTATGACAGTTTGTACGATATAACTTGTTCGATTGATAGCTCGTCTAGATAGGCTGTAGGTAGGTGTGTAAAAAATCTAGACAGTTCGTCGCAATAGGACCCACCATGTAGCTTGCTACAAATTGCTTAAGGACAGGCTTGTTTATCATATATTTCGTTTCTTGTCATATTTACATTTTTGAAAAGAGATTCGCGTTTTGTTTCCCATATTGGTTACCGGAATTACTTTATCAATTTACTGAGAGATTAACATATAATTCCTCGCATACTATATCAAGCAAAATTCATATTTGGATAATTTACTTTATATAATTGTATTCGTCTCCCAACAGTTATACTGTGCCAGTCTGTTTGAAAATAAAAAAATAATTGTTGTTTTATTGTTGCACAGTTAATACACGTATTTTCTGTATACTAAAGCACATAATAAAGTATACGACTTTATCGCTAACACCTTGTTTATTGCATAGAGCGTTGTTTCGGCGTTTCGTAGTAGATCACCGTTTTGAGGCTTTTAGTCCTTAAGGCCAATCTACCCTGAAACGTCGCCCTATGCAATAAACAAGAAGTTGTTATCCATAAAGTCGTATACTTTATTATCGACTCACCAACTTGAAGAATGCCGATCAAACAATTACTAAGGCACGTATTTGTACATACACAATTACTGTAATAATATACTATGTTCTGTCACGAAGTTTTTCACAAGGCATAGGAAGGTGTTCTTTACCACCCGTTACGTGTGGAGGCATTACCTTATAAACGTAAATATTCCTTCTACAACTTTACATACACATCAGATACTAGTCTGTCATACAGACCATGAAACAAATATATACAAGACCTAGTTTTAGTCTAATCAGGTACACACTGAACTGGTTCGTCATGTACTGTACATAATGTTGAACTTGAACAAGAGAAGAGATCCTTTTAAGATACAGAAAATGTTTCTCCTTGTATCCCATCAGGCAAGTTTTGTTGTGATTTGGGTATTGTTTTTAGATTTATCATTAACACGACAGACTAGGTTTCAAATACCCTTCAGTGAACTATCATAATGCCAGCTGTTATCACAAACCTCTATTGATATATGCGGTAAATGGCATTGCATTTCCTTGAATTATGCACACTGTTCTGCCACTGAGGCGGGAGATAATGGTGTCTATATCTTCTTGATCAGTAGGAAGCACGCAATAACCACTCAGTGACAATATATGTTTACCGCCTCAAATAAATCTAATGTGTATTTTAATATTTTAGGTCCTTCGGTTTGATGTAATCACATGACGTGTTTAATAATAAGGCCACGAATACAGTACAACCAGAAATTATTGAGAATTTAATATTGTAATTTTAAATATTTTTTTTTTCACTCATTACTCAAGTATTAAATGTGAATATTAGCAGAACATAACTCCAGATTCAAAGACAGGTGAACAGTTAGTATTTTGTCAAGTCACCATGGGCAGCAATGCAGGCTTCAATGCGGCGGAGCATACTACTGATCAAAGTCGTGGTCCCCTAACACAGATGTGCCACCCCGCACGTTACATTTCGGACTGTACTTAGGGCGCTGATATAAAGGTTTTTCAGTTTGTTTGGTCAAGAATTTCAGTGTATTAGGAAACAGCCACACAGGACTTTCATCTGAGAAAATCACATTGTCCCAGTTAAAATTTCTATGCTGTAAGCACCAGTTCAACCTTCGCTCCTTTTGTTCAGGTTTCATGATCGGTGATGGAATTCCTCGACTTTTCTGCCAACCCATTGCATGCAGCTCAGTTCTAATTGTCTCCTTACAGACAGTTCAGTTCTCTATCAATCATATCCAGCCTTAAGTTTTCTTAACTCCTTCGTTTGTTTTTAGAAACAAGACTACCAAGCCGCCTCCTGTCACCGACAGTCAATTTTCTGGGCCTCCCTGCGCCTCCCTGGTGCTCAATGCCATATCCATTTGCAATATTTTTCAAAACACGATAAATAGTGGACAAAGGGATGCCTGTTCTACTTGAAATCACTTTAGCTGATCTGATGTCCTTGTTATAATACTCAAAAATCAACTATAGTATGACCAGAATTTATTGAGAATTTTAGGAATATGTTTAATTGGATTTCTAGTATGAACAACCTTGACCAGCTATCAAGTGCTTGGTTTCATCCAAGAGAGACAACTCAGTTAATCCTTTTTCATTAGTTTGTGAAGAGTTATCCCCCTTTGTTTACTTGCTTGCAGACGACATTTTCAGTGATCCTCAGTATGCATGATTTAGAGAAGAGGGAGTTGCTTTTACCCTTTACGTGCAATTTGCTTATAAAACTCAGTTTAACAACATCTACCTCCAACTACTGCAAGCGCCGTATTAGGTGCTCTGTCGTATTAAGGGCTGCCATACCACATGTCAGACCAAACAATTTACATGACAGTCCAGTCCCTAATATTTTAGCCAGTAACGTGGAAGGGATGTGTCATCAATTAATAGTATATGTATTATAATTTTTGACTGGTAACTATTGACGATAATATTTTAGTTTCATTGACTTTTAAACGTGTGTTCACAATAGCAGGATCTTTGAATAACCGTCCCCTTTGTTTATTTTCTCAGCATCAGGGTGTCTTCTTACGCCGAACACGGTGATACAAAACAAATTTCTCTTTGAGATAATAGAGGATTATTCTGTTCTGTCCGTTCTATTCTGGTCCTAATAATCATATTTCATTATGAGGATCCCCATACTGCCTATGCACCTTAGATAAACTCTACTTATCTCAGTGATGTCCTCAATATCACCGAGGTTACCGGTGTGAGACACAGACATAGATACAGGTACTGGTCAGCAGTGTTTATAACCCCGAGGACCCTGCCTGTCACTTTAACCTGAATACATCCACAGTGGATCATGTCAGAATGAGGTTGTGGTGGCACTTATCAATGTGTCACTGCGACTCCATTGTGCCCAGACTGATCATATGAAGGCGGAGCTAACTGTGCAAGGTATGTAATCAAGGGTTCAAAACCCAGATTAAACAAGATTAGGAGACAGGAGTAGGTTCGAATCCTGGATGCATCTGAAAAGATATGGAGCATCTGGCCGATGCGACATCTGACAAATTCGGCCTCTGACTATTGCGGCATCTGACAATGGGACATCTAACAAGAAATAGGAGCATCTGACAAAAATGGGGCATCTGATTAATGGGGCATCTGACAATGGGGAATATGACCAATGGAGCATCTGGCAATGGGGTGAGGACGAATAGCCTGGTTCAGCAACAGGCACAAAGATTGCAACACGCATATCGCTCTACTTGTTATCATCGTTATCATTGATACGGTTGTTATCACACAATAACAGTCGCTACCACCACATATCTCACAGCTCACGTGGCCCAACAGGCTGTGTTGTCAGCGTCCAAAATGAAGTCAAAGCTGTCAGTTTGTGGCCTTGTAGGTCTACTGCTTATATCAAGTCTATTAGTTGTTGAGGTAAGAATGTATTCACATTTCTTGTGAAATATCTGTAAGTTATGATCACGAAGAGGTTTTAAATATCAGATAGCAGTCGTAACACTAACATAATATATAGTACAATAAGTATTTGTATAGACAAACACCCTTGTGCAACAAAAGACGAGCGTTTCTTTCAAACTTGTCAGCTTAGTATGCACTACCCGCTGCTGGATGAATGTACTTTTCATTTCCAAAGATTGTACACTGTGAACAAACATATAGTGGGGTAGCCTTGTGGTTAAATCGTCCGCTCGTCTTGCCGAAGACCCAGGTTCGATTCCCCACATGATTCAATGTGTGGTGCACATTTATGGTGACCCCCGCCGCGATATTACTAGAATATTGCTATAATCGGTGTAAACCTAAACTCACTCACTCACTGACTCAAGCATTTACTCAGAAACATCTGTTTTCAATCCACTAAATGTATGATTAAATGTGTAATGTATAAGAAATCCCTTTCGGTCCCCAGGAATGTCTGTGCAGCGTAGATGTGCATCTGCATTTCCGAAAGTATGTCAACGCCAAAGGTGTAACCTACGACAACCGATGCTGCGATGAAAATGAACAACCCGCCTTCGGCCACATGTGTCCAAACCAATGCGACACACAGTTCATTCTCTGTCTAGGCAGGTGAGTTCTATACTTCACACAGTTCATTCTTTGTTTACGCAGGTGAGTTCTATACTTTGTACAGTTCATTCTTTGTGTACGCAGGTGAGTTCTATACTTTGTACAGTTCATTCTCTCTTTAGGCAGGTGAGTTTAATACTTCACAGGGTTCATTCTCTGTTGAGGCAGGTGAGTTCAATACTTCGCACTGTTAAATCAAGGGCGTTAGGGATCCCCATGGGTCGGTGGATTGTATTCACTTCTCACTGTTTTGCCTGTGACCCTGTGATGTGACCCTGTGATAAAGTGGGTTCGCGTCTGGATCTTCAGTCTGGGGCCCAATCAATCATTTTATTCTCAAATAACCACAGTTGGTGGTACAAGAGCAAATACAAATATTTTATATATCAAGCAAATGTAAAGATAAAATATAGTTGCAGGCAACGATGAGGTCTCCTTGGCTTTACTTTCTATCTATTTTATCTGAGGGCTAGATATCATCGTCCAAAACGGAGCCAGAACACGTGTTTTGACAGGCGAGCGGATCCTCCAAATACAGCCGGGGTCACGGGGGTCATGTACCTTTAAGTAGTTACGGAGAAGAAATAGTTCCCTCTTTAGAAGGCTGTATCTCAGTTGTTCTTGGGTCTACGTTCAAAACAATTAGTGTTCTGGAATCACCAGGACATCACCTACCATACTGGCACTTTTTGTACAGAATGTGCACATTTTGAAAGCAAACTACTCAGAAAAGTGCTGAAAAACATGGCCAAAAACTGAAAACAAAAATAACTGCCAAACGGTACGTTTTAGCGACTTGACCCGTCCAGGCAAAATTGTTGGGAATTCGATTGTGCATCTGTACAAGAACTTTGGAAGTGTTGGAACAATTAGTTCTTGAGATATTTGCTGTCAAACGTTGAAATTTTGGAATTAATTTTGAATTATCTCCCCTTTGCTATTGGGCCAAGAGCCTAAAGAGTTTTAAGGGGAATATCTACACCTCGGTGCGCATTTGTGTGATTTTTTGTTAGCGATTCGGAGCATTGGTTTAGGAGTTATGTTTGATACAAAACTCGGCGGAACAATAAATAATAATAATAATAATCCGAACGATTACAATAGGTCTCCTGCCTAGAGGCAAGGAGCCCTAATAATAATATATAGTATATACATGATATATGAATACAAAAACTAGTCTCAGTTTATATTTCTTATTAGGGCTGATACTCTTGATACAAATTTTGATAAATTGACAATTTCTTTAGTGTCATTAGTTGTAAATAATTTAACAAGATTTTGCAGACTTTGATATTTTATTTTGTGGGATGATAAATACATTTTCCTGGCATCAGAGAGACTTTGACATTAAAAAATATAATGCAACTCATCAGCAATAATTGCAGATTGACAGAGTTTACAAGTTTTATCAATGCGTGGGATGTTCTACCAGTGGCCCGTTTCTATTGGTAGATTGTGATTAGATGTAATAAATCTTAATAATGGAATTGATATTCGCTTTGGGAAATATAGGTATGTGTCAAATAGTGGATACCGTTTAAGGTATTGATAATAAAATCCTTTTGAGCTTGAAGCAACATCATTTCTCCATTTTTGAACATATTGGTCCTTAAGTATCTATTCTACCTGTGAAGCTAGCCACTGAGTTGTACAAGAGGACGGGGTTTTGAATAGATACAATAATCCGGTATCGTCTAAAATAGCCTAACTTTTACCAGCCATGGGTTTTCTAGTAATTTTCCGCTTTCATTTTCCACTATCAAGTAATTATAAATAAGTTGTGAAAGTTTATTGACTCCATTATGGTTGGTAAGTTTATGCCAAAAGGTAATGAGACGTTTATAGATAGTTATCGTGATTGGGAATCTGCCGAGCTCCCCATAGAGCATAAATCGAGGTGTGGAATTCCTTAGTCTTGTAATAAGTCGTAGAAATTTTAGATGGATTTTTTCCAGACATTCCACATTTTCAATACACCAAATTTCTGAGCATTAAATAAGTATAGGAAATATCATTGAATCAAAGGCAAACAACAAACAGTCCAACGGCAAGTCGATATTTCGTGCTTTTTTGAACAGACTGAACATGGCTTTAGTGGCACTGTCACCGAGATCCTGATACTTGTGACTAGTCTTCTATTTCTGTGAAACGTGATGCCTAGGAAGTTGTATGTATCTACGATATCAAGTCTTTTGCTGTTATAATAAAAAATCAATTTTGAGGTGTTTGCTGGTCAACTCCCACAGATAAGAATTTTGGTTTTACTTATATTGACAGTTAATTTCCATGTATTACAATATGATTCGAATTTATCGAAAAAGACGGTATCACCTGCAAAAAGTAAAATTAAAAGTTGTTTGAAGAGTTGAATATCTTTATCTTGAACATAATCCATTCTAACACCATTATAGTCAGAAGAAAGGAGGTGTGATTCAATATCATTAACAAAGATTGAAAATAGCAAAGGTGATAGATTTTCTCCCTGTCTCACGCCATTATTGCACGTGAAGTAGGCCGATACACTATTATTATATTGCACGAAAGATTTGATACCATTGTACATTGCTTTTACAAGTGTCAGAAACCTCCCTTCAATACCAATAGTTTGCAATTTCTTCCTCAGACCTGCTCTCCAAACTGTGTCAAAAGCCTTGGTGAAGTCTATAAAAGCACAATATAAGTTTTTTTTTACTTTTCAATATCTGCATGCTCGAGGTTATAGATAACAAACAAGTTGTCGGCAGTCGAGAATGGTTTTCTAAATCCAGCTTGTGCTGGCGTCAATATATTGTTTTCAATAGGTTTGATAGGCGGTTGTTCAATATTTTTGTAAATAGTTTCCCAAAACAACTTAGGATGGTAATATGTCTATACGAGATTGGATCCGAAGTATCTCCTTTTTTTGTGAATTGGTTTAATTATTCCAGTAAGCCAAGAATCGAGCAGAGTGGTTTTTTCAAATACCAAATTAAAAAGTTCGACTAACAAGGGGGTTAATAAATCGCAACTATCAATTAAATATTCGTTTTCGATCAAGTCTATTCCAGATGCCTTACATCGTTTCAGTTGCTTTGTGGCTGCCCTAATTTCTCCCTCTGTAATATTGCTATTCAATATTTCACAATTTAGTTGACTATTACTTCCGCTTGCGTCGAGTTCTGATTCCTCCGGTTCCGAATCATTAAGTGATTTGAAGAATTTGTATAATACATCAATATCTATGTTATCAGTGCTATCAATCTTATCACCATTTAAAGTGTCCAGAATTGTTTAGGAGAGTGCTTATGGGTCTCCCTAAACATTTTACCGATTTCCTCTTTGTACCGCTTTATATGTCTATCCATACACTTTTTATAATTTTTTTATTCAAACCTAAATACGCGTTTATTATAAATGGAGTAGTGTTTTCGTAAACGTCGTTTTGCTTTATGAAATATCTTACGATCTTTATAACATTCTGCTCCGAACCAAGGTTTACATGTTCGGTCCTTCTTCGTAAATTCTCTATGTTTTCGGACTCCGAAGGTTTTCCTCGTTAGTGATGTCATTGACTGTTACTGGGTCAGCTTGATCAAGCCCATCCTCGATAATCTCCAGGGTATACATTACGATCACTCTCTACTATACCCTGGATCCATCCACGGCTTGGCCAGATAATTATATTGCCTCCCTTTGCTGGCTCCACATTCTCACAGTAGCCAATCAGCTAAGCCGCCGTTACATATCCGAGCTTGCCAATGTCAACAAAGATAGCGGTCGCAGTCCCGAAGGTTTGTTCGCAGTGCCACTCAGATTTTTGAGGAAATAATACAGACAAATTGACAGATCTGAAACTTTAAAAATATATATAAAAGAACTCCTTCTACCTCTTTCAGAGTACCTCTGCATCAATTGTGTTGCCAAGTTTAAACGGTTAGATAATTTAAGAAGCGAAAGTGAGTTGTGATTGGTTCGCTCAAATTCCCAGCGTAGACACCTGATTGGATAAAAAGCCACCCAAGGGAGGTAATAAAAGCACCGGGCCAAGCCGTGGATGCATCCAGGGTATAGTGGAGAGTGATCGTAACGTATACCCTGGAGATTATCGAGGATGGATCAAGCCAAGCAGCGTGTGTTTTCACTGTCAGATTATTTATCTCAGTTATATCCAACTTTTGGAGGTATTCACCGGTTTTCTGTGTATTATATATACTGAGTCAAAAAAGAAACTTCACAAAATGTAATTTGAAAATAATGAATACTTTTTCTCTGATGATACATCTATGTATCCGAAATGGGATCCCTATCTTTCGACTCTAGAAAAACGTGAGCAAAACCCACTCAAACCCATCCATTCGTCGTGCAAATGACGTTAGTGCCAAATCAGGTTTTGCACGTGCAGTCGATCACGTGATCTTCGCATCGAAGTTTTCTTCATATGCACGTGTTTGCATTGGCCTCAAGAATTGAAAAAACACTTTTAAACCACAGTTCTAACGGTACTTGAAATGCCACGATTGTCAAATGTGCAACGTGAACGTGCCGTTGGCATGTTGCAAGCGGGAAGATCAGTTATTGACGTCGCAAGAGCAATGGGATGCAGACGTCGTACTGTGTATGACTTGCGAGGTCGTCTACAACAAACTGGCACCACTTCTGATCGCCCAAGGTCGGGTCGTCCACGTGTGACGTCACGAGCAGAAGACCGTCAAATCGTCCAACGTCACCTACGTGACAGATGTCTGCTGGCTACACGAACCAGGGCTGATATGTTTAGAGGTCGACTGTCCTCACAGACCATTCGAAATCGGTTGCGGGCTGCCAATCTCCATTCTCGACGTCCATATCGTGGGCCAATATTGACGCCGTTTCATCAACGTCAACGTCTGCTGTGGGCGCAACGTCACCTACGATGGACCCAGAGAGACTGGAATCGAGTCGTCTTTAGCGATGAATGAGGTTTACCTTCAGATTCGCGGACGGCAGGCATAGAGTCTGGAGACGACGTCGTGAAGGTATGGCCAATGTTGTGTACAGGAAGTCGACAGATTCGGGGGCGGAAGTTGCATGGTGTGGGGTGCTTTCTGTGGGAACAACCGTTCCCGACTTCTGGTCATCCGTGGAAACCTCACAGCTGCTGCTTACCGCGACCAGGTGCTCACCCTGAACTCGTTCCTTTCATGGCGGCTCATGGCCCAGGTCTACAGTTCCAGCATGATAATGCTCGGCCGCATACCGCGGAATCAACGTCATGGAATGGCCATCGAGGTCCCCTGACCTTAATCCAATAGAGCACGTTTGGGATGCACTTGGGAGAAGGCTTCGTGGTCTTAGGAACCAACCTCAGAATTTGCAGGAACTTGGCGCTGCCTTGCAAGAGCAATGGCGCACAATCCCCAACCACGTGTTCACAAGCATCAGGCAGTCGATGAGGAGACGGTGTTTGGCAGTGGTGAATGCGCGGGGCGGCCATACAAGATATTGAACTGAGAAATGTCGCATTTTTATTCTTGTGACTTGACATTCTGTATACCCATGTTTTGGAACGGCGGTGTAGCCTAATGGAACTGATTATGGCACTGTCAGTGTATCGAGTACATCACACAGATCTCAGCAATGAAATAATAACAATTTAACCATCTTACCATCTCTTGTTCTTTTATAGTGCCCTGAAGAAAGAATGTGAAGTTTCTTTTTTGACTATATATATCGCTTTGGTTTAGAGCATGAGCTGTGAGTTGTTTTAGCGGTGCTTTGGGTGCCTGTCTCTGATTCCTGAAGAGTTATTTTAGCTAAGCTAAATGTTACTGGGCAGTGCACATCTGAATACAGCGGTGAGAAGTCAAAGATATTTAGATCAGTGATAAGAGGTAAGCATGGGGATGAACATAAAACACAGTCTACCACTAGTCTACCCAGTGGTTAGGTGGGCTACTTTCGTTTCTCATTTTTTCCATTTGTTGTAAAGCTGAGTAGGTTGTTGTACACTTTGGAGTGGAGCGTGAGATGCATTAGTTACTGCAGCCATTTGATATGCCTATCATGCAAAATTCAAGAAATATCTCTGCGGTTAACACTAAAATTTTCATAATTTATACCAAAAACGATAATCAAACCTGCGTTGTCAACGCTGAACGTTAACGTCTGAGTCACAACATCCCCGCTGCACAGAAGTAACTATCTCGGATTCCATTCCTCATAACCTTTCAGGGGTAGAACAGGTCGGATGGTCTCTGGTATGTTGCGACGTCTCAGTCTGTTATCTCCCGTCTGTGTTTACAGTTTCGTCAGTGGCAAATGCAGCGGTGCGTACATCGCCACCGATGTCACATACGACGCCAACAACGTCACCTTCGACGACCACATAGGCAACCAAACGCTGAACCCCGTTGTTCTGCACCTACCTGACTGGCATCCAGTAAGTGAATACCAATGACGTGTAAGTTACCCTTGCAATAACTGTGCTCGTATGAGAGTCTCTGTGAGTAAATGGCGGTACGTGTGAGTCTTTAACACTGACCCTTGTGGACGCGAGCCTCTGCTTGTGTTTGTGACTTAGCGTTTGTGCTGATAGTAAGTAAACGAAGAGAAAGACTGTGCTAATTCGTGAGTGCCGGCAGTTGAGTGAGAAGCAATGTTTGTGAGAGCCAGTGTTTGTGAGTGTGACCTCCTGTCCCAGTGAGTGAAAGAGAACACAAAGAATAAACAAACGTTTTAAGATTTCTAAAATGACCTATTTGCAAATATGAAACGTCATTATTAAGGCCTGCAAGGCACGTGCTAATAAAAGATCGATAGAAAAAAGGGCGATGTCATATTCCTCTCCCCCTACTGTCTCGCCCTTCTCATGAACATTCGGAACTTGTTTCCTTCAGCAAGGCACCGGGACGCCTTTCTTGATAAACGTGATGGACAGTAATACTGGCTCTTCAGACGTCCCCATTGACGTGTTCAACACCACCCTTACAACTCCCTTGACAACGAACTCCACTGATGTGGTCTCGCTGACGTTGACTGGCACGAGGACGAGTACTGTGTATGTCACTGACAGTGATCTCTTAAACCAATCTTAAAGGGAATACGCGCATGTAAACTACCGGGCAAAAGAAAGTTATCACTTTTAAAGTAATTGTATAAAAATATAAAAAAAGCAAAAAAAACCCCGCTGGTACAGGTATGAAACAATGCAGAAAACATTCGCCAAAACGCAACATGATCCCGATATCAACACAGCTGTCAGAAAACTTCGAACGAATCCTGCATTTTTCAATGCTTGAAAAACGTAATTTTGTGACATTGGTCTAAGTGCACGTGCGTGATTGTGGCATAAATACCGATGTTGGACAGAGCAAGCATGCAGTAACCAAAATAAACACCACGAATATGCCAAGACTTGCGCAAGCGCACCGAGGCAGGGCGATCGGTATGGCCAATAAGGGGGCTTCACAACGTCAGCTGGTAAGAACCTTCAACTGCAGCCAGGCCACCATCAGCAACTTAATAAACCGCTGCCAGCAAACAGGCCAGACTCAAGACCCCCAAAATCGAGGAGACCAAGAGTCAAGACACCGTCCGAAGACCTCTACATCCGGCACATCCACCTCTCGGAACAGATTTCTGTCGGCGACAGCGCTACTACAGACCATCAGCAGGCGAACAGTCCTTCGACGACTTGGTATGGCGACGGCCCCTTCCGTGGAATGTTCTCGACCCGTCTACACCGTCAACGAAGACCGCAATGATTACTAACTCAACGTCGGTGGCAGCGAGAGAGGGCTCTTTACAGATGGAAGTCGGTTCTGTCTGTTCAGAAACGATGGCAGAGTTAGAGTTTTTCGACGTAGAGGATAGCAACTGGCGCCAACCCGCGTTCAAGAAGTTTTCCGTTCGATGAAAGATGCGTCCTGGTATGGGGTATGGTTATCATCCGAGGTAATCTCAATGCCCAACTTCACAGAAATATAAAGGGATAAACGTTTTGTGGTTCCCTTTATTCGGCAACAGCCAAAAGGAGTCATTTCGCAGCACGACAACGTAAGGCATCAAACTGCCAGAATTGTTCGGGAATACCTGCACAATGTTAAAGTCAACGTATTGCCTTGACCAGCACGTTCTCCATAAACACCATTGAACATCTCTGGGATCATCTTGATCGTCAGGTGAGACAGCGTGTACCACCTCCAACGAACCGACAGGAACTGGAACAGACTCTCTTGGACTTATGGAACAGGGTTCCTGCTGACTTCATCCGCCGACTGACGACGTCAATGAGGAGACGTCTGTTGGCGTGTATGGATGCCCGGGGTGCTCACACTCGCTGTTGATGCAATTTTTGAATGAACTCTGATTTGTGTAATTTTTAATTTTGCAATACAATGCATTTTCAGTCAAATTATTGAAGAAAATTCTGTTTGTAAAATAATTATCATAAATCTCACATTCTATTTTTTGGTCAAGTGAAGTCAGTGATAACTTTCTTTGCCCGGTACATAATATATTTTAATCGTCCTTTAAGTAAGTCTAATAGAAACCTGAAATATGTATGGCAAACGTAGGAAAGGGTAAGCTTCGACAAATATAAATATTCGGCATAACTGAATGTATGGACATTTCACATATAAATACCTTCGCCATCAGTATTATTGATTTGATTAGACGTTACAGTTATATTCGATCATTATGTATGTGTGCCTGCAGTGCACTGCATTACTGCGTTTCTAATGTAGTTATCAGCATCGCAATTATCCTTAGTGGAAGCTGCACGGATTGCCCAGTTATCGAAGAAACTGCAGATTTGCTTTCCTTGGTCGTACCAGAATCTACTGATCTTAGGTTACAGCCATCAACATGTCTATGAGTATCGTGGAAACGTGTACGATCAGCGTCACATGAGGCTCACCCTCCTCAAAAAGCTGTTGTGACGTCATATACTGTTTAAAGTGGCCTAAACGTCACTGACATACTCAAAGCCACAACGCGGTTTAACATACAAGCCTAAGAAAAACTTTCTTTGGAACAGAAACTCGTTAACCCCGAAAACTAATTTGTTACCCAAGTCGAACACTAACGAAGCTAAATGTTTTTTATACCTTCAGGCTAGTGTTAGACGTCAACGTCGGGTGCACCCCGAACTACTACGGCCATGACTGCTCCATCAACTGCACCACCACCTACATTAACTCCTACTGCGACCATACGACTGGGATCATTCACTGCAACAAAGGTATATACTGTCGTGATAGGTTCCTGTACATGCATGTGTTCGCCTATGACCCAACCAGTCCGACAGAACGCGAGGAAGAAGTCCGGTCACTGTAGAATGTCACGGTATAAAGGTATCAAGGTTGAAGGAATTATTTGTTTTGCCAACAAAATACACATGACTGGTGTTTCCTAGAATATAGGCGTCAACATTCTCATCTACGCTACATTTACTATGTATACACCCTATATCCGGTGCATGAAGAGTCTTTTCCCACGCACTTCGTACTCTTACGGTTCATGACGTGATCTGTACTGCATAAGTACAATGTGTGGAGCACTTCATGGTACCCCAACCCGTGAAGATCCGGGTTAGAATTGAACTTCAGTAACCCATGCTTGTCGTAAGAGGCAACTAATGACCGGGCGGTCAGACTCGCTGACTTGGTTGACACATGTCATAGTGTCCCAATTGCGAGGATCGATGCTCATGATAATGATCACTGGATTGTCTGGTCCAGACTTGATTATTTACAGACCGCCGCCATATTGCTGGAATATTGATGAATGCGACGTAAAACTAAACTCACTCGCTCACTCAGGGAATGGCCACATTCATTTACCTGGAGCGCTCACCCGCTCCCTCTGGATTGTGTTTGTTGCAGGTTGGCACGGCGACAAGTGTGAAGAGGACATCGACGAGTGCTCCAAGTCTCAACTGAATCGAGTATGTCCGGTTAACAGCACATGTGCAAATTCCGCCGGAAGTTACACGTGCACCTGCAACGAAGGCTGGACAGGGCTATCATGTAACATAACCCAATCATTGTGTGCTACTAACCCATGTAAAAACAATGGTACCTGTGTCAGTGGCTCTATAACGTTCTCCTGCAGTTGTTCGCAAGGGTGGTCAGGGCCGACCTGTGAGACATATACCCCCGGGTGTGACCCCAACCCATGTTATAATGGGGGTATATGTGAAGTGTCATCTGGGAGAGTTGTGTGTGGGTGCACGGCCAGTTGGACAGGAGACAATTGTACAGAAGATGTCGACGAGTGTAAGCTACTTCCTTGTGCAAATGGTGGAACATGTAGCAACGAACAGGGTGGATTTAACTGTACCTGCCCAGCAAAGTGGGTGGGGGAGCGATGTACAGACCTCAACCCCGTGTGTCCTCCTGGTCAGTGTAGGAATGGGGCTACTTGTATTAACCACATGGATATGTACGTTTGCGCATGTCCCGAAGGCTGGACAGGGACCACGTGTCAAACACTACTTTACAGATGTTCCCCAAACCCTTGTCAAAACGGCGGCAGTTGTTTTCTAAACGATACCACGTTTAACTGTGCGTGTGACCACCAGTGGAAAGGGACGCTCTGTACGGAGTCCAATGATCCATGCGCTCTCAGCACATGTCAGAATGGTGGTACTTGCGTACAAGCTAACGAGAATACTTCAACCTGTGCATGTGCCCCTGGCTGGTCCGGACTTAAATGTGAGACTTTCATCGGTTTTTGTCGCAACGACCCATGTCTAAACAACGGCACATGTTTTGACGGAACATACACCTATCAGTGCGTCTGTGAGTCTTCCTGGCATGGAGATTGCTGTGAATTAGATACCAATGAATGTGAGGCAGGTGCTTGTGTGAATGGCGCTACGTGTACCAATACCCCTGGAGGGCTCATCTGTAACTGTTCTAGAGGCTGGACGGGGAATAACTGCTCAACAGATATAAATGAATGCCTATCAAAACCATGTCTGAACCAAGGCGCCTGTGTCAACTCACTGGGCAGCTTTCACTGCATCTGTAGCTTGGACTGGTCAGGAAGCATGTGCGAACATTTCATCGGGCCATGTCACGGAGGCTCATGTGACAATGGGGGCACGTGCCAGGGCAACGAGACTGGTTCCTGGTGCGTCTGTCCGTCTGGCTGGACCGGAGCTCATTGTGAACAAGATATCGATGAGTGTAAACTGAACCTTTGTGATCATTCCACAGGATGCAGAAACTCCAACGGCAGCTACCAGTGTGAGTGTATGTATGGATGGAAGGGACAGAAGTGTGACGAGGACATTGATGAATGTTTACTTGGTATTTGCGTCCACGGCAGTTCATGTTATAACTATGACGGCGGATATAACTGTAGCTGTAGCCCTGGATGGAAGGGGTTGACCTGTCAGTACAGACAAGATGCCTGTGCTCCACCCAGTCCGTGTGGTAACGGGGCAACCTGCTCCAACACTAACGAGGGCTACAGATGTCACTGCCCAGGTGGTTACAACGGACAACAGTGCCAGACACAAATTGATGAATGTTCGGCCGGACCTTGTCAGAACAATGCGACGTGTCTGAACGTTCCAGGAGGGTACAAGTGTACCTGCAGCAGCTACTGGACAGGCCACGACTGCGCCATTGACGTCAATGAGTGCCTCAAACCGCAGTGTCTCAACAACGGCACATGTGTCAATTACGATGGCGGATTCCGCTGTGCGTGTCCCGGCAACTGGACAGGAAGTGTTTGTGCAGATTTCGTTGATAACTGTACCTGGAAGCCATGTTTAAATGGGGGCAGTTGCACTGACCTCTTCTACAGCTACAACTGCTCCTGTCCGCACGGATGGACCGGTCAGCGATGTGATGTGGCTGTTGACCTTTGTGCAAACAGTCAGTGTAGTCAGGGGTCAACTTGTTTGGAGGCACATGGTCAAGTCACGTGTATCTGTGCGTCTGGTTTGACTGGTCCATTGTGTTCCACCACGATAGACCCGTGCATGGGCACCCCGTGCTCTAACAATGGGACATGTGTCACAAAAGACACAACCTTCGTGTGTATCTGTGTTCATCCTTGGTCTGGGACCCACTGTGACATGAAGCTTAAAGCTACATATGCGTCTTCACCAACTACTGTGTCATCTACAAAGACCTCAACAAGGTCGACATCATCTACACCGAGGTCTACTGCAATTAGATATTCGTCCACAGGACCAGGTATTTCCTTTCATGAAACGCCCAGCACCACACCCCTCCCCACATCTGCTATCCGCAGAACAAGCACCGTGACTACACGGTCTACATCTTTAACTACCCCTCAAGTCACAACAGCAACGCCAACGACAACATGTTCAACAACATCAGTAGTGCCAGTTAGTCATTCAACGCCGATGGAAATAAACACAAGTGCAAATGTTCGATCTGATCATACAGCCAGACAAACAAGTTCGACAAAGAAACTCCCCAAACACCCTAAAACAGGCCCATCGAGCATGCCTCCAACAATACGTCCATCAGGTATGTATTCAAGACTGACAACATAAAAGTACGTGTTGCATTTCAATGTATGTCAGATTGGGGCAGTGCTCTGTAAATGTAACAACTGACGATGCAGGTGGCATTTAATAAGGGTTAGTCAATCTAAAATCTATTCGTTAGATTTAAAGAGTTGAGATGTACAGTCGAACCTGTAGCAGAATATCCTTGATGATTCGTATTTCTCACACTAATGAAGGTTGTGAATTCATCCAGGTTAACCAAGTTTTGTAGTCATGAAGGCATGATGCTCTATGGATTAATTCCTAATTGGTAGTTTTTCACGGCAACGTCTCGTTCCTTCATCGGTGTGTGTGTGTGTGTGTGCGTGCGTGCGTGCGTGCGTGTGTGTGTGTGTGTGTGTTTTAAAGTGTTAGCTTGTCACGCTTACCCATTTCTGGTGTCCCCCGCCGTGCTATTGCTGTAATAGTTGTAAAAAGCGGCCTAAAACCCAACTTTGTCACTCACTCACCCCATCAAGTGACTACTGAGAAACTGTATTGAGTGTATTGATAAGGTATCATAAGGTAGTATTAAAGAAGAAAGATAACTATGAAACGGATTTAATACCTTGTGTAAACTTATCAACATATACATATAGTAATTCAATAACATTACGGAATGGTCATATCATTAGTATGGTATATATTGTCACAATGTCTTTCCTATCGCAGTGTAAACATGCTTATTATCTCTAGCTTGTGCCATTGTGTTAACGATTTATAACACCACATCCCTGGCTATGGCATTATATATACCCGTTCTGTATTTATATCCAGATATCTATACCATCCACTTCAAGACGGCGTTGTCATCAGCAGATGTCGATGATGTCGTTGCGAGTTTAACCACATTCGCCAAGGATCACATTTGCCTCCACAACCTCCCCCACGTCCTTCCTCAGTCTCACACGTAACGTAATTTGTAAAAGTTTCTTTTTGAAAGTGCAGTAATAGACAAATAGGCATAGACCTGATTGGATGGGATATTTAGGGTTGTAAATGAAAGAAATCTGGTTTCCTTAGATACCAGAAACTGTTACAGTATGTGTTGTGTCTTCAATATCATCTGACAACATATTTGTGAGAATATCTTTGTTTAATAACTTTGCGTTTCTTTGCAAACACTAATTTTATGTGTCATATCATATTTTAAACAGCACAAATATCAGATACATGCATGTTTTTTTGTGATGAAATGTGTAGTATTGGATTATGTTTCTTGCAAATTGACAAATCCATGTCATTATGAAGAATGCACTAACTGTTACATGTTGAATGAAAATGAATTTCTCGTTAGCTTCTTTGTGACGGTTTTTCGTAGGCCATCTGTTCATTTTATGACTTGTAATTATTGTTTGAGTAGTTCTGTTTGTTTGTTTGAACATGTGAATCGATCTACGCAATTTGTTACGATGACATGCAACCACCATGTCTGGCAGCCTGATCATGTTAGTCATTCATCGTGGTTGCCTAAAGCCTTTTCCAACCTTGGTATTCACGGGTGTTTGATTCTTATTGACTGAATAAAAATATATTTTATATGGGCTACATCTGATCCGATGAATGTGTCGAAGGTCTGGATGTATTGTTTATCTCTTTTGGCGAAATTTGATCAACAAGTAAACGTAACCAAATATTTCCATTTCTAAACAGGGCGAAGAATGCCATCTCCTTCGGCGTTCTCTGTGGCAGTACCCAGGAAACCACCAGTGACATACAGAAAGCAATCTCTTCAGTCAAAGAAGAAGACTTTCAGAAACTGTTTTCCAAACAGCTTGTTTCAAGAAATACTGAAAACGATGACAATTCGTCAAAGGTCTGCGTGATAGAAGTTTCACAATACGAATAATTACTGTCGTTAATATTTCCAGAAAGATGCCATGGTGCAACAGTTTATCCTGCTGCATGACCAGTGTTTCTGGACGCTCTGTAAAATATTAACCCCTTTAAACCTAACAACTCTAGATCCCTGTTCTTAAGCCATTTATATATGAATGAAGATCCGGGTTAGAATTGGTCTTCAGCAAACCATGGTTGTCGTAGGAAGCGACAAGCGGGTTCGGGTGTCTGGCACGCTGACTTGGTTGACACATGTCATCGTATCCCATGCTCATGATGAGGATCACTGGATTGTCTGGTCCAGAGTCAAATATTTACAGAGCGCCGCCATATGGCTTGAAAATTGCTGAGTGCGTCGTACACCATGGGATACGAACATGGTGAGACCCTTGAAGATCCTCGCGGGATCTTGTGCAGATCGCACTACCTATGACACGAAGTGTATATAATGACAAAAGCTACTTACATGTCAGAAGTAATATCGGCTGTGTTATGATTCAGATGTCATGTTTAAATGTATCACTATCAAATAGAGCGTTCTCGTAAAGGTGGGCGTATCTTACCTGACCAGAAGCACGCGTCACAGACACATGCAAAGGCAAGTTTATCGTTCACCTGGAAAGAAAACAACAACATATGCGAATATGCCTAAACTACAAAAAATGTTTGCTTCTTTATTTCAGAAGACAGTAATCATATCAGTGTCTACGTCAGTTGGAGTTATAGGAGTCGCGGTCATCGTTATCATCATCATCATCATCTACAGGAGGTAAGGAAATTACACCTAGGGATCTAGTTATATACCGCAGGTAACACGGACTATGACATTACACCTAGGGATCTAGTTATCTACTGCAGGTAACACGGACTATGATATTACGCCTAGTGATGCAGTTATCTACTCCAGGTAACGAGGACTATGACATTACACCCAGGGGTCCAGTTATCTACTGCAGGTAACGTGGACTATGACATTACACCTAGGGAGGCAGTTATCTACTGCAGGTAACACGGACTATGACATTACACCTAGGGATCCAGTTATCTACTGCAGGTAACGTGGACGATGACATTACACCCAGGGATCCAGTTATCTACTGCAGGTAACGAGGACTATGACATTACACCTAGGGATCTAGTTATCTACTGCAGGTAACGAGGACTATGACATTACACCCAGGGATCCAGTTATGTACTGCAGGTAACGAGGACTATGACATTACACCTAGGGATCCAGTTATCTACTGCAGGTAACGTGGACTATGACATTACACCTAGGGATCTAGTTATCTACTGCAGATAACGTGGACTATGACATTACACCTAGGGATCTAGTTATATACTGCAGGTAACGAGGACTATGACATTACACCTAGGGATCTAGTTATCTACTGCAGGTAACGAGGACTATGACATTACACCTAGGGATCCAGTTATCTACTGCAGGTAACGAGGACTATGACATTACACCTAGGGATCTAGTTATCTACTCCAGATAACGTGGACTATGACATTACACCTAGGGATCTAGTTATCTACTGCAGGTAACGTGGACTATGACATTACACCTAGGGATCCAGTTATCTACTGCAGGTAAACGGACTATGACATTACACCTAGGGATCTTGTTATATACTACAGATAACGTGGACTATGACATTACACCTAGGGATCTAGTTATATACTGCAGGTAACGTGGACTATGACATTACACCCAGGGATCCAGTTATCTACTGCAGGTAACGAGGACTATGACATTACACCTAGGGATCTAGTTATCTACTGCAGGTAACGTGGACTATGACATTACACCTAGGGATCCAGTTATCTACTGCAGGTAACGAGGACTATGACATTATACCTAGGGATCTAGTTATCTACTGCAGGTAACGTGGACTATGACATTACACCTAGGGATCTAGTTATCTACTGCAGGTAACGAGGACTATGACATTACACCTAGGGATCTAGTTATCTACTGCAGATAACGTGGACTATGACATTACACCTAGGGATCTAGTTATCTACAGCAGGTAACGAGGACTATGACATTACACCTAGGGATCCAGTTATCTACTGCAGGTAACGAGGACTATGACATTACACCCAGGGATCCAGTTATCTACTGCAGATAACGAGGACTATGACATTACACCTAGGGATCTAGTTATCTACAGCAGGTAACGAGGACTATGACATTACACCTAGGGATCTAGTTATGTACTGCAGATAACGTGGACTTTGACATTACACCTAGGGATCCAGTTATCTACTGCAGGTAACGAGGACTATGACATTACACCTAGGGATCTAGTTATCTACTGCAGGTAACGAGGACTATGACATTACACCTAGGGATGCAGTAATCTACTGCAGGTAACACGGACTATGACATTACACCTAGGGATCTAGTTATCTACTGCAGATAACGTGGACTATGACATTACACCTAGGGATCTAGTTATCTACTGCAGGTAGCGAGGACTATGACATTACACCTAGGGATCTAGTTATCTACTGCAGGTAACGTGGACTATGACAATACACCTAGGGATCCAGTTATCTACTGCAGGTAACACGGACTATGACATTACACCTAGGGATCTAGTTATATACTGCAGGTAACGTGGACTATGACATTACACCTAGGGATCTAGTTATGTACTGCAGGTAACGAGGACTATGATATTACACCTAGGGATCTAGTTATGTACTGCAGGTAACGAGGACTATGACATTACACCTAGGGATCCAGTTATCTACTGCAGATAACACGGACTATGACATTACACCCAGGGATCCAGTTATCTACTGCAGGTAACGTGGACTATGACATTACACCTAGGGATCTAGTTATCTACTGCAGGTAACGAGGACTATGACATTACACCTAGGGATCTAGTTATATACTGCAGATAACGTGGACTATGACATTACAACTAGGGATCTAGTTATCTACTGCAGGTAACGAGGACTATGAGATTACACCTAGGGATCTAGTTATCTACTGCAGGTAACGTGGACTATGACATTACACCTAGGGATCCAGTTATCTACTGCAGGTAACACGGACTATGACATTACACCTAGGGATCTAGTTATATACTGCAGGTAACGTGGACTATGACATTACACCTAGGGATCTAGTTATCTACTGCAGGTAACGAGGACTATGACATTACACCTAGGGATCTAGTTATATACTGCAGGTAACGTGGACTATGACATTACAACTAGGGATCCAGTTATCTACTGCAGGTAATACGGACAATGACATTACACCTAGGGATCCAGTTATCTACTGCAGGTAATACGGACAATGACATTACACCTAGGGATCTAGTTATATACTGCAGGTAACGTGGACTATGACATTACACCTAGGGATCTAGTTATGTACTGCAGATAACGTGGACTATGACATTACACCTAGGGATCCAGTTATCTACTGCAGGTAACGAGGACTATGACATTACACCTAGGGATCTAGTTATCTACTGCAGGTAACGAGGACTATGACATTACACCTAGGGATGCAGTTATCTACTGCAGGTAACACGGACTATGACATTACACCTAGGGATCTAGTTATCTACTGCAGGTAACAAGGACTATGACATTACACCTAGGGATCTAGTTATCTACTGCAGGTATCGAGGACTATGACATTACACCTAGGGATCTAGTTATCTACTGCAGGTAACGTGGACTATGACATTACACCTAGGGATCTAGTTATCTACTGCAGGTATCGAGGACTATGACATTACACCTAGGGATCTAGTTATCTACTGCAGGTAACGTGGACTATGACATTACACCTAGGGATCCAGTTATCTACTGCAGGTAACACGGACTATGACATTACACCTAGGGATCTAGTTATATACTGCAGGTAACGTGGACTATGACATTACACCTAGGGATCTAGTTATGTACTGCAGATAACGTGGACTATGACATTACACCTAGGGATCTAGTTATCTACTGCAGGTAACGAGGACTATGACATTACACCTAGGGATCTAGTTATATACTGCAGATAACGTGGACTATGACATTACAACTAGGGATCTAGTTATCTACTGCAGGTAACGAGGACTATGAGATTACACCTAGGGATCTAGTTATCTACTGCAGGTAACGTGGACTATGACATTACACCTAGGGATCCAGTTATCTACTGCAGGTAACACGGACTATGACATTACACCTAGGGATCTAGTTATCTACTGCAGGTAACGTGGACTATGACATTACACCTAGGGATCTAGTTATGTACTGCAGATAACGTGGACTATGACATTACACCTAGGGATCCAGTTATCTACTGCAGGTAACGAGGACTATGACATTACACCTAGGGATCTAGTTATCTACTGCAGGTAACGTGGACTATGACATTACAACTAGGGGTCCAGTTATCTACTGCAGGTAACGAGGACTATGACATTACACCTAGGGATCTAGTTATCTACTGCAGGTAACGAGGACTATGACATTACACCTAGGGATCCAGTTATCTACTACAGGTAACGAGGACTATGACATTACACCTAGGGATCTAGTTATCTACTGCAGGTAACGAGGACTATGACATTACACCTAGGGATCTAGTTATCTACTGCAGGTAACGTGGACTATGACATTACACCTAGGGATCCAGTTATCTACTGCAGGTAATACGGACTATGACATTACACCTAGGGATCTAGTTATATACTGCAGGTAACGTGGACTATGACATTACACCTAGGGATCTAGTTATGTACTGCAGATAACGTGGACTATGACATTACACCTAGGGATCTAGTTATCTACTGCAGGTAACGAGGACTATGACATTACACCTAGGGATCCAGTTATCTACTGCAGGTAACGAGGACTATGACATTACACCCAGGGGTCCAGTTATCTACTGCAGGTAACAAGGACTATGACATTACACCTAGGGATCCAGTTATCTACTGCAGGTAACGAGGACTATGACATTACACCTAGGGATCCAGTTATCTACTGCAGGTAACGAGGACTATGACATTACACCTAGGGATCTAGTTATCTACTGCAGGTAACGTGGACTATGACATTACACCTAGGGATCCAGTTATCTACTGCAGGTAACGAGGACTATGACATTACACCTAGGGATCTAGTTATATACTGCAGGTAACAAGGACTATGACATTACACCTAGGGATCCAGTTATCTACTGCAGGTAACGAGGATTGTACCATGACTTCAGTAAACACTGGATTGTGATTGGTTAATTAAAGTCATTCAGAGGTATATAATCACGTTATACAGGTCTCTGTTTTCCGTGCGCAATCATACATGGTTTACGGTAATGCACTATTTTTGTCTGCCCACTAACATGGCGGACACCAAACAACCTACCGATGCACCGATAAATTACGGCGATTTTACTGTCGGAAATTACACATTTGTCTTTAAAGATGGATTTAGCGATGACGGGCTCGACTCACTACTTGCGTAAATCACAGCAATAGGTGTTTATACATACAAAAGTACTTCGAAAGCATGGAAACAAATATTCAGTCGAACAAGATCAAAACATCGTCTGCTTTCCGAATAAAAATTCAGCAAAAACAAATATGTTTACGTTGATTCTATGTTATGTCAGAATAGATCCAGCAATAGACTGCTACATAATTTCCGTGTTAAATTTATTATCAGCTTTCGTCAACGATATCGCCACTGATCTTGATCCGGTAACGGAGGATGCATTAACATCGAACGCCGAAGAAA